CTGCTTTAAGTGCTTCTTTTTGACAAAGTATGTCAGATAGAGCATCTAATAGACTATTTCTGTGCAGTAACCATATTTATTCCTGTTATAGGAATTTCTTTCTCTTTTTTTTTTAATCATTTCACCCCAAGCAAGGCGGGAATGCCACTAGTATGCAGGGGGTTCCAGAGAGTGAAAGGGAAAGAAAATAATGAGTATAGGGAGGATTGAGAAAAGGACAAAAGATGAACGGGATTCAAGAAGGCAAAAGAAGGCAATTTTTGAAGAATTTTAGTTATCAGGGAAGCAAGTAAACAGAAGGGAGTTCCACAAGTAGAAAGTTCGAGATAAGAAACTGGGAGTAGAAGAGGCGGTTGCATTTAGCTATTTCAACATTAAATGGCTGGGAACCAAATGCCAGTCTAGTAGCATGCTTAAATTCATGTAGTTGGATCACCAGGAAAAAAAGCTTGTCAGAGCAGTTGCCACGAAAATATTTATAGAAAAGACAGAGGGTAGCCATGTCATGTCGGTGAGATGCCAAGTCATCAGAATCAATTACATTACACATTCTTTGAGAATGTGAACATTGTTGTTTGAAAATTCTTTGATTTTTTAAGATCATTTAAATGATTTATTTTTTTGAAATCAGCAGACCAGAAAAGTTTTTATATTTTTACCACATATTTTTTTGTCTGAAGATCATGTGACAGAAATTTTGTTTTATGGACAAACTTCTGCCTAGATTTAAAACATATTTTTCTACAACTTGCAAAGCCAAAATTAGTTAAAAATTTGATAGACCATCCAACAAAATATTTTTAACAGCCCATACCATCTAAACCAGGGGTCAGCAACCTTGTGAAGAGAGCGGGCCAGACAGCTATGCAGTGTCTCAGAAGAGGGCCATGATATCAATGTCTTAAATTAGACCGCTCCATCCAGAAGGTTACCTTGGTCTGGATGTTTAAAGAAAAAACAACAAAGTTAATATTATATTATTCAAAGAAAGTTCCTTATTTTACTCCAGGAATAACAGGGTAACAACTAACACAATGAACAAAAAATGCAAATTCCTTACTACAAATGAAATACAATTCAAAATGACAAATTATTTAATGAGATATTTCTTTCTGCTTATTGTTCGATAACTTCTCCATATCAGGTGAAAATATTTGTCAATGACAGGAACAAAACATCATCCAGGTGATTATCACCCAACCTTGTTCTTAAACGACTTTTTTAATACATTTCCTTTTTTGCCAAAAGTTGTTCACAAGCATGTGTATTTTCAAATAATGATACCATCATTTTCGCATTATTCAATAGGCCTTTATATTTTCCGCTTGACAAAACATATTTCTTGTAGAAGTCGGATTCGGAATTAAATTTTGATTTCAAAAATTAGTCACATTATAAGTCACTTAACAGCAACTCATACGTTTTCTGCCACTTGCTCCACAAATTAAGTAGATAATTAGTGTCCAGGTGTTAAGTTGGCAGGCCAGACAAAAACACTGTGTGCCAGGTGTGGCCTAGGGACTGGAGTTTGCCGAGCCCTGATCTAAACTATTCGAAGCAAAGATAAAATGAAGCCAAAAGTAGTTTATTTATATAGGAAACTATAGGAGGTACCAACTTTCAGTTTCATATTTTTTTAACCCTTTCTCTGATGTAGACACATGTATATGTTGCTAAAGTAAATGTCTTTTTCAGACATGGACGAATAAACATGCCCAAAACATAACATTCAAAAACCAGCTACAGACAGGTTTATCTCGATCCTTTTTATGCTCTTCTGAGCTTGAAATGAGTCCAGTTGTCAACTCATTCATCTGGTAGAGGTGTTAGCCACCGTTCAGGTACTTCAAGGCACTTCAGTTTCTTAGTTATTGGATTAAAAACAAATAAAAAAAATTTGTCTGAAAATGAAACGTTTTTCTCAAAATAATTGGCAGGGAAGGAGTTAAGTATCAAATTTATAAGGTGCCAAAATCTAGAAAACCATTTGTTCAAACCTTTATCTTGAGGACACTCCTTGGTAGTTTCACAGTCAAATTGATAATGTTTCCCATGTTTTCCAGATCTAAGGAGAAACTTACACTCAAATAGCTTTTTCTGTAAGAACTGCCACCTTGTGGAACAGACACCATTCACATGGGTGCTTCCCTGAACACTTTAACTTCACATCTTTAAGTCAGGTATATTTACCCAACCTCCTCACCAAGGCTGGATGTGATACAAGGTCATTTTAATGCACCATACACATACTCATGCATATGGGCCAAAAACAAAAATTGATTTTTGCCTAGCCCCCATGATCACAGTCATGCTGGCCCCAGTATTGCACTGATCCAACCTCTTTAGTGTGATGAGGAAGGTGTTGTCAAAGGGTTGGAATCCATGGGGTTAAGCAGCTTCTCCCATTTTAAATAAGGAAAATTATAGCTCCATTTACAGCACAGGCCTGTTAACCATGCCTTAGTAAACCCTCATTGACTAATGGTTAACCCCTGTGCCCGGTCAGGGGGTCAATTGTTATCTATCCTCCTTATCCTTATAATCTTCACCTCCTCTTCCATTCATATCACACACCTTATTCATCATAACTGTTTTAACAGTGACTTGAGAGGTGCTCAAGACTTGTACTGAGTGATATTAAGCATTAAACAAAATTCCACAATTGTTAAATAAAAAGCACAGCTTATAAATTGTTATACTAGAACATTACCTATTCTATTGTAATAGACTCTCCCACACATAATAAGTAGTAGTAGTAGTAGTAGTGGTCGCCAGTTGGGCTCAGTGGTGTTGAGTGAGTCAGTCGATGTCGGACATTGAAGTATCAACCATCACAACTAGATTGCTGCGTCATTAACTATTATTGCAAGTTCCTAATGTTTTGTATGTTGGACTCTTTTAGGACCTACTTATTGAAATACAAGCCTCTACTGTGAAAACTACTTTACAACATAAAGAAAGAATTAACCTTAATGAGATTTGAATTCCCTTTGCTGTATCCTCAACATCTTTGCTAATTTGAACATGGAAACTCATCACCAATAGAAATTCAAAATTTGTCATATAATTACTTTTTAAGCAATTAATGAATTTTTAATCCAGCATTATTACTTATTAAAAATTTGAATTGACATCCCAGTTTTTGTAAACACTGAAATTAACATCTACTGGCCTCGATAATTCTTATTAAAAAGCTATGTGCCTCTCAACAGGAAATGAACCTGTAATTCTTTATCCTGGGAAACCACCTTCAAGCCAGACATACTTTACCACTAAGCTATGAGATTAACTGATTTGCTTTTTTACAGTTTATCAATTTTTGCAGGTTATTTAAAGCCAGAAAATATTTTTACATTGTAAGAATTATTTTTGAGGTAAAAACTAGATTGGCAACTAGGACTTACCATCTTACTGTTGAACTAGCTAGATTCAACTGCCACTTCTATTCTAACAGTTTCTTTTCTCGCACTTCTCATCTGTGGAACTCTCTTCCGATTTCCTGCCACTTACAATCTTCAAAAATGTAAATGCAACATCACTCACTATCTTCTGTTTTCTTGAACCCTATTCCATTATTATCCTTTCTTCACTTCTCCTCATTAAAGTCTTCTCATTCATCTTTCACTCCCAGTAACCTTCTGCATCCTAGAGGCATTATTAACCTTGCTTGGGGTGAAATGATTTAAAAAATAGAAATATGGATTTACTGATACAAGCACTACCAATTAACCCATAGCTGGGGGGAGAAGAAGTGAATTTATACCTTTCTCAAGAGTATTTGCCATTAATATAAGGAACCTGACTGGAATTGGAATTCAGCTTTCTGATTCACAATTCTGAGCCATTATCTATTACACTGCCTGCACATCGAAACTTAAAGCATGTGGTTTTCTCAAGCAGTCACCCATTTAGGTACTGATCACTGCTTAACTTCAGTACAAGAACTACTGTTTCAACGTGATATGGCCGTATAAAAGGTCATTAAAGTAAATCAAGACTAAAGTAGTTAAGAAATTGACTGATAGTTCATCCAATACAAGGCCCAAGGGCCACACAAGGTAGAGGGTTATTGAGGGAGATCGTAAGGAAGGGGGAAGTAAACATATTTTGAAGACGATTAGGATAGAATGCAGTTGATGCAATGATGTGAAAATTAAGAAGTATATCTATCCCTATGTACAATATGCATTTATAAAATTTTGTCAAAAAAGAAAAAAAAAATAATTACAAAGATATTTTGTCAACCTTGACATTATGAATAAAATCGAAACTAAGTGGCTAAAATAATGTTTTACTGCTGGTGGCAACAGGAAAAAACCAGAGTTGGAACTTATTGTAAAATGGATTCAGGAATCTTAGGATTTGGTCAGTGAGGATTTTATAAAGAGAGATTTCAAGAAGTGTTGTCTCACGATAGCCATGGAATGGCTCTGAAGATGACATTCTTTGGCAAGAGAATAAAGAGACTGAAGATAATTTTGTACAGGACAAAGATAATTTTGTGAATAATAATTTGTTTAATGACACTTTAGATATTGATTCTATAATAGAAAGTGGTGATGATGATGATGATGATGAAAATTAAAATTTCAATAAATTGTTAACTTGATATTCTCTTTTCTTCAAAATTGGCCTTTTTATAGATTTTTTGATTTTTTTTGCCAAATAGAAAATGCATTTACTGATAAGCATAAATTTATTGACTAAAAATGTTACAATTATTATTGTTGTATTTAGAATGAAAACTGGGATAATATCTTTCTTGTTTTAGAACAAGAAGTACGTATTTATTATTACAAATTAATAACGAAAGACGTATTTTCGTTTAAACCTATTTATAATATGCACCCCTACTATCACCTGTAATTTGCAGTAAAGAAAATGTGTATTATTTTTGAGAAATTATGGTAAAAATGGATTTTTTTTTTGAGTTTATAACAAATTCTAATATTGTTAGAGACATTTAAAAATAAAAAATATACAAATAAAAAGTTTCTTACCTGAAGGGCAAATGTGATTTTGGAAAGCAATCGTCTTTTGTCTTTGATCTCACCTTTCCCCAGACAATCCAAGGAAGATGTTGCATTAACAAATAGAGTGAAAGGCTGAGATGGAAGAGTTTCAGGTGAATCCACTTGGGAAATGTTTAATTCCTAGAGGGAAAAGAAAGAACTATTAATGAATATCAATGTTCCTCAAAAAAAGTACAATAGGATTGACTTAATAGATGAAGCAGTGCTATTATTAACAGTCATATCTTTGTTAACAGTAATAATGTAAACTATTGAGATTAACAAGATGGCATCATCTGAGATATACAGGGTGGACCAAAAATAGGATTACAGTTGTTTCACGTTTTAAATGTAATTTATCCAAATCATAATTAACTTCATTGAACTGTTCTTTCAGCAAGATTGAGCACATCCCCATTATGCACTGGCAGTAAAGGACTTCTTTAACCAAACCTTTCTACAGTGTTGGTTCAGAAGAAGGGGCAGCATTGAATGACCACCATGTTCACCTGACTTAACATCAAGGGATTTCTTTTTTTTTGAGTATAGTAAAGTCAAAAATTAACACTAATGAAAATGTTTTATCTAAAAAAATTCTGACAACTGCTACATGGTGTAAGAAAGCAACAAAAATACAATGAAAAGAAAGTTTCTGCAATAGGGTTTAATTTTAATAAACCATCAATGACTATCTGTTCTTTGAAGGAACTTAACAAAATAAATAAAAAATAATGACTTATGGCTAAGAGAGAATAATTGTAGTGATGAAGGGGTAATTCCCAAGTATTTTTTCCATTTATATTGCTTAAAATAAATCCACATTTTCTTACAAATAATAATTAAGAATAAGCATAAGCACTTTCTGATCCCAAACCAACATACATGACTATAAAATGTAAAAAAATTAAAAATAAATAATTGAATTCATAATCCTCTACTATTTAAAAAATATACGTATATTATACATAAATTTATTCCATACTAAAATAAACTTTAATATTAATTGTATAATAAAAAAATAAATTAAAAACTTCAACATCATTTGCTCCCTTTCATTTATTAGACATTAAATTATGTCACTTAGCATCCTTCATAATTTACCCAGACTTTTCAATTAACCTAATATATATTTAATTTATTTATATTTATAAATTTAATTTATTCAAAACTAGCAGTAGAGCCTGGCGTTGCCTGGGGATATAACAGTAAGAGATAGATCAAGTATCGACCATCATAAAGACTGAAAAATAAAATTGACAAAGATTATTGTTTAAGGTTGACAGACACGCATGTCTTAATTAGTTTTTTTGGTTTTTTTATTTAATTAGTCAAACCCAAACTCAAACAAAAACATTGTTTTCAATCGTTATGAGTCTACCAATTGAATAGAATTTTATTATAAACAATTGTCTTGTAAATGGAATTTTTAAAGCATTCTGAATGTAAAAATAAAGAAAAAAGTGTGCAAGACAATAAGAAACACTACCTGCCAAAAAAAAGTGAAGTTTTGTTGAAATCGGTTGAAAAATGTAGGAAATCCGATCCCATATATAAACGAACACACAAACAACCTGGATTTTATAAGTATAACTTGATACGAGTTGTCCCCCTTTCATTCTGGTGACAGAATTGTGTTTTATCGTGTTTTCAAATTGATTTTGTGCAAAAACAATTGTGTTTTTCTAATTTTTGGCACTGTCAGAACCACCACAAGGTAATTTTACGTAGTCCTGTGAAGTTTTGTTGAAATCGGTTGAAAAAATGTAGGAAATCCGATCCAATATATAAACGTACAGACACACACACACACAATCTGCGTTTTATAAGTAAGAAAAAACTAACATTTTTACTTGTTGCAAAAATAAAATCCTTACATTTGTCTTGATAAAGTCTATCAGAGGACGAAACATGTTGGCTAAGGTAAATTTTCCTCGTCTTCAATAAGATTTATACTTAACCCATATTTAAATTTACTGATTGATAATTTATGGTTGAATCATGCTGAAAGGACTAGTTCTCATTTGATGAACAAAGTTAAGCAGCATCGTGTCTGGTCAGTACTTAGATGGGGATCTGCCTGAGAACACTGAGTACTGTAAACATCAGAAGAGTGAACTATGATCATCCACCCCAAAATCCCACCTTTGGAATGCAGGGAGGTGTTAAAAGATGGTGGTTTGTTACAATAATAGAATACCACAGCAAGAAAATCTATGTGCCATGTCCCTTAATGACGTTGGCGGTCATGACTCCACAATTTCTTGTCTTTCGTAGCTCTTAATAGATTTTGGATTTTTGTTATCTCTTCTAAATCTTGTTCTGCCATCCATTTACTCAAGCTCACTGGGTAGTTTATGCATTGTTTTCCTCTGGGACTCTTGCATTCAACATGTCCTGTAAGTGTCAAATTTTTCAAATCCTTTTTCCTCTTCCTGATGTCAAATATAAGTGTGCTTTTTGTTTCCATTTTCTCTAAAAATTTGTCGTTGCTCACATGTTTCAACATTCTTCTGTAGAACCACATTTCTCTTGCTTCTAGTCTCTTCTTCATCTGTGAGCAGATTGTCCAGCATTCACTGCCATATAGGCAGACTTGATATTGTGTAACAGTTCAATACTCTTTTCTTTGTTTCTAATGAAATTTTTCTGCTTTAATACTTTACTTAGCTTTTGGAAGGCATCTTTCATTATCTCAATGCACGTTTCAGTATCATACTTTCTGTCCTCTGTTCAAACACTTTCTAGATACTCTCTCTAAAAATGAGCCACTGCAAGGTTTAGTAAGAGATACAACTGCTAATTTTATGAAGTTCGCTTGGATTGCAACTGAAAATAAATTATGATTACCAAATCTAACCATTTGGCATAATGCTCAGATTTGAGGATTGCTAATTGTTATAGAGTACGAATTATTTTTTTTCCTCCATATGAGTTCGAATCCTGGTCACCAAGTGTTGTAGAGTACGAAAAGTTTTTCTTCCTCTGTATGAGTACGAATCCCTTGTCGCCAAGTTGTTATAGAGTAGTTTCACAGTGGAGGCTTGTATTTCACTAAGTCGTTCAAATATGTTCAATATACAAAGCGTTAGGAACTTGATATAATAGGTAATGATGCAGTAATCTAGTTGTGGTGGCTGATACTTTAATATCCAACTAACGGTCGCCCGACAACGACTGACTGAGCGACTGGCGACTGCTACTACTCCTACTTGTTATAGGTAGGAGAGTCTATTAACTATAGAATAGGTGTGTTCCACTATAACACTAAGATCTATAGTGAGAAGAAAAAAGAAAAATGTACGTACTTTAATGTGTAGTTCCTTCAAGAAGTTCCAGTCATCAGGCAGACAACAGACTAAGGAATGTAGTGGAGCTGCAGTTTTGTTCAATTCAAACAATGATCTGATTGTATTAGATAAGCAAACCCAAAGATTCTGTTGCTGTTGTTCAAGGTAAGCAGTACACTGGGGTGGAAAAAAAAGGAACAGAAATGAGGTGAGTAGAATGATTAAGAATTTACTGTCTTTATGAGCATTAAATACTGCAGCTATTGACCTTGACTGAACAAGAGCTTTTACAAAATCTGATTAAAGGAATCTGAGAATTTCAGGTAAAAAAATCTACAAATTTAAAGATTAAATTATTTTACTTTTTACAGTTTTAGAAAACAAACTTGATTTCACATTTCCCTTTAAAATAGATGAAAACAAACAAATGGATTTTAAATAAATTTGACTTTTTTTCTTTAAAAGATGAATGAGAAAAATGAAATATTAATGAACAAATAATAAAAGAACGAAATGAAAAGAATAAATTATCTGTCTATATTTCTGAGATGAGGTATTATGTACATTATTTATATTATTCGGACTAATAAATATGGTGACAAAGATGAGGACAATAGTCCGAATAATATAAATAATGTATAAATTAAAATATTTTACATTTTATAGTTTGAGAAAGATAACTTTAATTTTTTTCATAAAAATTATAAATGAATAACAAATAATGATGGATGAATGAATTAAAATGAACAAAAAATATAAACAAATGAGAGAATGAAAAAAAATAATGTTAATAATTCGCATTTTATAATTTTAGAAAATGAACTTATTTTCATGTTTATCTTTAAAAACATTAATCAATAAAAATGAATAAAATAAATATATTTTGAAATCTTTTTTAAAAAACAAATTTTTTTTCAACTTTTTTTCCTAAAACTTATCAATGAATGTATAAAAATGAACAAATAAATAAATGAAAAAGTAAAAATATAAACAAATGAAAGAATAAAAAAATGAGAGTGCTTTACATTTTATAATTTTGGAAAGCAAACTTAATATTTAAAGAAGAGATGTATCAATGAATGAAAAATATGAAACGTAAAGAATGAAAGATGAATAAGAAATTGAGAAAATAAATGAAAGAAATTAAAGAAAATATTTTACAAATTAAAGTTTCAGATAACAAGCTTTTTTCATTGAAATAGTTGAATGAAAAGAAAATGAATGAATTAATGAATGAAAAATAAATAAAATGAGAAAATAAATGAAAAATAATCAGTTGATAAAAATGAAAAAGTGAATAAGCAAAGAAAGAATGAATTATAAAAATGGACAGATAAAAGATGAAGGGAATAAAAAAAATACATGAATGAATGAATAAATAACATATCAGTTTCTTCTCTTAAATAATCATAAAGGAAGCATAAATTTAATTTCAAAAGATTTTTTTTAAAATTAATCACATACATTAGTGTTTTCAAGGACGATGTTCAAAACATCCAACAGTTTTATGCAACAAAGCCGAGAACTTTGTATAATAGAAAACGGTTTTTCGAAAAGCATTTTTAGTTGGGAGTTGCTTCGTGGAGGTGGAGATTGTGTTTTCTACAAAAACAAAAACAACATTTTATAAGATATTAGTATTCTGAAAGTAAAATTCAATTCACTATGCAAGCAAATACAAAATTAAAACAGATTTACTCAACGCTGAATCGAATATTTTACGTACGCCACCAAACTAGTTCTAAGGGAAGCAACTTTGTTAAAAAAATTGGCAATGTGTAACCTTCAGGCCTGCAAAAAAATGCAGTGTATCAAGAGCTTAGTTTTGATACCATTATTATTTTAACTACCTTCACTCCTCGGCAATGTTTATTGTTTTAAAAAGCAATTATGAGAATTGTAATAAAATCTAAATATATGAAGAAAGTGAATTTATACATTTTCTTTGTTCTTGAGAATTTACAACAAAATAGTAAACACTATTAGATTGTTTATTTACAAGAATAATTTTAACAGCATTCTAAAATCTAATACAATTGTATTAAAACTAATGTAATGCAATATTTATAATTTACCAATATTTTATTCATAAATTTATAAACATTTATTAAATTATTAAAATATGTGAATCAACTATAAAATAATTAATTTTTAACCATTTTATAAAATTTGATTTGATTAGTAATTAGCCAGTGTTTTGCTAACCATTCCAATAAACAATCTAATAAATAAATGGTGTTTATTATTTTTGTTGCAAATTCTCAAGAACAGAGAAAATGTATAAATTCACTTTCATATGTTTAGGTTTGATTAAAATTCTAATCATCACTTTTTAAAAAAATAAACATTACCAAGGAGTGAAGCTAGTTAAAATAATAGTAGTGTCAAGTGAAAAACCATCCTTTTCACACACTTTCTGTGAGCATTAAAGTTAAACACTACCAAGAAACTAACGTTAAATTACTCATAAAAAAATAGAGATTTTACACAGATATTAAACAAGCATAGAATTTGCAAAATGGAAACACACACACAGAAAAAAATTGAAACATATACATTGTTTGATATAGCATGAAGAAATGGAGACGTTGAATTTTTATTTGTAAGATAACAGATAAAGTTTACTTTTATTGGTAATTCTGATTTATTGTTTAACATTTTAAACTTATCAATGTTTCTCTTTGATAAAAGGTTGATAAAAGAGCTGGCTGCTTTAGAAGAATTGCATAAACTTTTTCTTTTAGACAGTAATTTTCATTTGTGTCTTTGCTTCTTCAAATTTGTACCATTAAGAAATTATTTAAACATTCTATTCTGTAAATAGTTATTTAATACAAAATAATTCTATGATTATTTTAAAATCAAAAATAGAAAATAAAATGTTATATAAAAAGCGTAAAAATAGTATTGGCCTGAAATATCAATTTTCAGATGGTTAAACAAAAAATAGATAAGTATCCTCTATAATGTAAGTTACACCTCAAGGTTTGAGCTACCAGGGTCATGTGATGTGATGTCATAGAATCTGTTGGCAAACGGTTTGTTTGAAAGAAATCATGCCACAAATGATGTTTTAGGCAATGGTTTTCAACTTAATTCATTTTTGAGGATCTGCCGGGCAATTAACAGATAGACCAGTAGGTTTTACAGATTTTATATAAAAAAAAAATGCAATAGTTCATGGTTAAAAGCTTTTAACCATATGCTATTGGTTAGACCATAATGTTGAAAATGATCATCTGAATGCGTGTCATCCTTTACTTATTAAACTAATTAATGGATATCTATTCAGACAATCTGCTTTTCCTGTATTTGCAATATTTTGTGAAGGTGATGGATGAGTGTTCAATGTTTTTATTGACATTTTTTGGTGGTGTTATATAAAGAAAATATATGTGGAATATTTTAGTTGGTAAACCTGGTAATTTTGTGGAGAAGCATCCCAAATTTTTTAAGGGATTTTTAATTTTCTCTCTCAGTAGTACTTTATTAGTCATGAATATGAATAAAATCTGATGTAAACACAATTACAATGATTTTTGTCATGACTAATATTCCAGTTAGTACAGTCTTTTCAATAATCAAACAATAAAAAAGCAAAACAAGCCCAAATTCTATTTTGGCAAATATTTTTAATCAAAAAGGCATTTTCGTTTAACCCTATTTTTTAATTAATCTACTGTGATAGTTGACTGAACTGCAATGCAATAGCAAATTTTTTTTTAGACCATTAGAAATTTTATGCCCTTTCTTGTTTTGAGTTCGATTTTACCCAGAGCCATGTCGTTAATTATTACAACAGTGTGATATTAGGTTGGCCAGAAAGAAAACAAAAAATTAGGAAAAAAAAAATAAATAAATTAGGAAGCAGAAAGAAAGCAAAAAATCTTGATCTCTGTCTGCTAGAATTTCCAATGAGCACTGCATTCCAAGTTAGTTCCATATGGTCGCACCATCAATGCTAAACTGTATATGCAGTTAGACCACGTGTATGACAAACTAAAGGAAGAGTATCTTGCTTTGGTTAATCTAGGTCAGGCCTTGTTTCAGTAAGATAATGTGAAGCCACACACTGCCAGGTTGACAAAAAAGTTCAAATAGATGGATAGTGTTGAGATTTTTCCACATATAACATTCAGTCCCAATGCTGCTCCGAGTGACTATGGTCCATTCCACTCAATGGCACTCTTCCTTCATGACCAGCAATTCAACACTTTTGATGAAGTGAAGGAAGCTTGTTTACATTTCTTTGATTTAAAGCCAGTGAAATGGTATCTGGGACAGATTCAGATGTTGGCTGATCGCTGGCAGAAGATTATCAAGAATGATGGACTTTGTTTTGAAAAATAAATGTTAGTGTTTCTCCATAAAAAAAAACAAAAAAAAAAAAACAATTTTCTTCAAAACTGACATCTTTTTTTGGTTCTTAATCAGATTTTTGCCTTGTGAATCCTCAAAAATGAATAAATTGAGAAAAACTGCTTGAAAAAATATTCAGGGGATTAATATCTTTCATGAAAATAAAAATGGTAGCGATTATATTTTGAAAATGGATCTGAAAAATTTGTTTGTACCTCTATCAACCTTTATTAAACCAACCAAAATGACTTAATTCATCCAGTACAAAAGTATGGTAGGTTTGTGTACAGAAAAATAAAATAAATAAATAGACTGGCATGAATGTGGGGCTCAAAATAGATTGGCATAGCTTTGTACTAGTTGCATCTATATATTTATTTATTTTATTATTTTTTCTAAATAAGTTTTTTTTTTATATAATTTTTAATATTTTTATATAATTTTTTCTTTTCAGGATATAAATTATATAAAAATTGTCCAAATGTTTTATATATCCAAGTGCTGTCAGCTATACTTTTAGCCATTATCAAGGATGAATTTTGTTTTATTTTTAACTGAATAAGTTTTTTTTACATAATTTTTTATGTTTCATTCAGATAATTTTCATATAATTTACATCTAAAAAGAAGAAAAAAAATCATATATATGAATTGCATGTTACAAAATTACAGACAATCCATGCCTGCACGCAGTAAATTTATTTTTTCTTTTAACACCTTTAAAAAATTTTTTATTTCTAAAAATCAAATCAGATTTCATTTGGTTTTTCGTTGGAAGAAAGAGAAAATTGTTTACAAGTACGAACTATCAAAGTTGGAGGTATGGACGTTTCCAAAGGTTTGTACTCATCCAAGTCAAAATGTTTCAATTTGTCTTTCCAAGCCAGAGAAAAGTAGTCCATGCGTTCAGTAAAAGTTCCTTCATGTTTAGTTTGAAAGTTAAGTGCCAAGAAGTCATCACTTTGAATCTGGAGTTAAAAAAAAAAAAGAGAGAAAAAAAAAAAAAAATTAGTTTTTTGTTTCAAACAACCATTCCAAAAAACAGATAATACTTTGGGAAAAAAAACAGATAATACTTTGGGAAAAAAAAAACAGATAATACTTTGGGAAAAAAAAAACAGATAATACTTTGGGAAAAAAAAACAGATAATACTTTGGGAAAAAAAAAACAGATAATACTTTGGGAAAAAAAAAAAAGAGATAATACTTTGGGGGGGAACAGATAATACTTTGGGGGGGAATAGATAATACTGGGGAAAAAAAAACAGATAATACTTTGGGGGGAAAAACAGATAATACTTTGGGGGGAAAACAGATAATACTTTGGGAAAAAAACAGATAATACTTTGGGAAAAAAACAGATAATACTTTGGGGGGAAAAACAGATAATACTTTGGGGGAAAAACAGATAATAATTTGGGGGGAAAACAGATAATACTTTGGGGGAAAAACAGATAAACAGATACTTTGGAAAAAAAAACAGATAATACTTTGGAAAAAAAAAAAACAGATAATAGGAAAAAAAAACAGATAATACTAAAAAAAAAAAACAGATAATACTTTGGGAAAAAAAAACAGATAATACTTTGGGAAAAAAAAAACAGATAATACTTTGGGAAAAAAAAAAAAGAGATAATACTTTGGGAAAAAAAAAAAAGAGATAATACTTTGGGAAAAAAAAACAAAAAAAAAACAAGATAATGCTTTTGGAAAAGAAAAAAGATACTTTGGGAAAAAAAAAGGTAATATTTGGAAAAAACAAACAAATACTTTTTGTGGTGAAATACCAGATAATACTTTTGGAGGTGAAAAATACCCAATAATACTTGGGGGGATAATACTTTTGGAAAAAACACCAAATTATTTGGAAATGACACCAGGTAATTATTTGGAAACAATGCCATGGGCATTATAGTGTAATGGATATTGGCTCAGAATAAGAAATCAGAAAGCTAAGTTCAAATTCCACTCTGGTTCAATATATTTACTTATGCTCCAATGCCCTTGGGAAAAAGTATGAATCCACCTCTTTTCCATCCTGCTATGAGTTGAACAGCAGGACAGGCAACCTATTATAGAAAAATCTTCTGCCTAGTCAGTCATGACTCGAAAAAGGCTGGATGTATATCTTGTGTATGGTACTTTGACTGACTGACTGTTCATGTCATCCCTTGGAAATAACAGCAGGTAACAGTTTTCAAGAAAAAGAAAAGAAAAATAGAAAGAAGTTCAAGCATTTCCTTACAAATAAATTTTGTGGATTCGCCAAGCGGTTGCTGACTGGGATCTTCTGGCACGGATAACGAGATAGATATTCATTGCAGCAGTAATGGCGGAGAAGGTCCAATTTCTTCTTCCTACCAACAGTACAAGGATATAAACGTAAATTGTTCTTAATCACAGCCTCTTGCCATCCAGTGAACAGCCGACAACAGTGAAGGTGTAATTCAAAAAAACTAGCAGGAATGGATGACATATCCCATAAACAATCAGGAATACATGCATCACCTGAAAATTATTGTAAAAACTATTACAAAATGTATTAAACAAACATATAAAATATGGGAAAAAGATTGTTTTTAATTACAAGATGAAGCCTCCATTGAGATTTGAACCCACATCCTGTACCCTTAGAATATGTCTGACTATCTATGAAAGTCCATCAGCAAATAAAATTAAAATTTAAACATACAGCTATTCTTCTGTTTTTGATTTATGCCATATTGTTTGTTTATACTCAGTAAAAGTAGTAATAGTAGATATAATAGTCTTAGATGAAGAGGATTAATTCATTAAGTTTTATCAAAATACTCAGAATGTTAAAAAAAAAAAATACCAACCTACAACCTTTAAGTAAACATCAAAAAATGAAACAGGACATAAGTTCAAATCTCACTGGAGGTCATTTTTTATTTCCAATCTCACTGGAGGTCATTTTTTACAAAAAAATAAAGCAGCCACAGACTGTAACAATTTGAATTATTTGATACAATTTATCTCTCTTGCACTGGCGACACCAAGTGGCAGTGTCTTTCTTAAAATGAATAATGCAAAGAAAGAATGATTTCTGTGAAGTTGAGAAAAGATGAAAAAAACAAAGAATATTGGTTATTGGTTATGATGATTTTCTTAGTGTAGCTTATATGTGGCAAATAACCAAGTAATACCTATAATCCCATTTTTGGAAGAGTGGGTATTAAATTGGTTAAAATAACAATTTGGAAAAAAATATATTAAAAACTCACCTAATAATAGTAAGGACTTAAAATATACAATTTTTTACAGTCAGAGTAAAATTGTCAAAATAAAAATAAAACAAATAAAAACATACTAAATATTAATTTTTGAAGACTGTTCAGCATGTCTGGATTTGGGCAAACATCCAATCCACGGTAGTTTAAACAGACGATATACACTTCTGAGTTGCCTTGCTTGCTTGTTGCTGGTTTAAAGACATTCACCTACAATAAGAAGAACATAAGCTTTACTTTTAACAAAAATACAAATTTAAATTGAAAAAAGATTTAAAAAAAAAGAATCAGAGGATATTGGTGATAGATACACAAACAGGTAAACTATAGTAATTGGAAACATCTATATATAGAAAAATAGTATAACAAATTGAGAAAAACTTGTGACGAGTTCCATCAACTGGGCTTTGTTGATGTAGCCATGTTTAAACATGTACACAAAACAAGAGATGCAGGTAGTTACAAAATTTTGGAAAGAATATTTTTTTCACTGTCGCCAAAATCATCTGTATTCTTTTTCTCTCCATCAACTTCATCTCTGACTATCCCACATTGTAACAACAGAAAATCTACCAAGAATAGTGATATATTGTAAGAGCCTGGATGCAAATTTACCGCAGCTGAACTAGCAATCAAAGCATTTTCCAGGCATTTTCGTCTTAGTGGGTTATTTTATCTTTTAGTCAAAGAAACATTCCCTATGTCAAAATTGTGGTCAGTTTTGTTAAGGTAAACAACCAATGCGCGTGTGTGTGTGTGTATATATTATTTATTATCGGAAATTAAAACAAAAACATTAAAAATTACTCCAGAATAGAAATCGTGTTTCGACACTACAAATGTGTTTCCTCGGGTAATAGTAAATTACTGGTGAGTGAATGATTAATTTCAAAAGCAGAATACTTCCTCTTTTTTTGAAAAGATGAAACAGAAAACAAAATGAGGCTTGTGGGTTTACTGTGATTAACCAATCAAATATGAGGCCTACACTAAAATCCAAACCAACTTAAAAAAATGATACAAGTCATGACATGATGTTGTCTACATAGAAGTCCTAGACAATTTTGTTTGTGACTGATACAAATTGCAAAATATAGAGAAGTATGATGTTCAACTTTCACAGAAAGTTAAAGGGAAAGTGGGGTAGGGGGATAATCTAGCATAATTTTAATGAGCTATATGCTCAATCATCTTCCTACATAGAATTTTGAAGTTGATAATTGAAAGGCTTCTTTAAGAAAACTGTAAAAATAAACAAAAAAAACTAAAACAAAACCGAATCATAAATTCAAAACTACTTTGGTAAATTAATATGCAACTGTTAAGTAAAGATCATCCATATAAGATGTTAATAATACAAACTAATCAGTATAAGATGTTAATAATACTAACTAGACATCAATATAGAGCTATATTAAATCTAACTGAATTTTACACAATAGAATGGTAAACCATATAAGGTGCACTCTAGTACATCTACCAATTATTACTGTAAGAAAAAGTATCATCAAATTTGAAGTTTAAACATATTGTAAGGTAAAAGGTAAACTATGCCTACAATTTACAGTTAGTTCACTTCTTTAGTTTAATAAAGAGTTTTATCAATAAATTTGATAATTTCTATTTTCTCATGTAAGCATAAGAAACAAGGTTCATTTAAAGATCTACACATTCTAGCTTTTTTTAATACTTTCCATTTTACCAAAGGAGTTTTATTAACTTCTTTTAAATTCCAAAAATATTTAAAAAGACATGTAGTATTTTCATCTGTGGATTTTTTCAAGGCAAAAACAAAATGAATTTATTAAAACAAAGTAACTAATAATAACAAAACAGAATATCTTTACCAACTTTGTTTAGTTATTATTAGTAACTTTGTTTTAATAAATTCATTTCGTTTTTGCCTTTAAAAAGTCCACATTGGACAAAACACGTCGGCTAATATTACAGATTCCCTGTTGTCTTTTACATTTATAAATATTGTCTTTTTCTACAGGTTAACTCTAAGAAATTTTCCATATAATTTTGTGTATGACTTAGCAGCATAAAACTCTCTCTCTGAGAACAAAGCATGTTTGTCATTTCCTTTTTCTTTCAGTTATTCTGTCCTTGAAATAAAGTGTTATTGTATCATGGAAATAATGGGGGAAAATACAAACTTGGAGAATATTCATTAACTAGTGTACATGATGTGACAATATATAATTAATACCCATTAACAATATACAAATGATGGAACAAACCTTTTCAAAGAATTTCACCAGAAGATAAATCAAACTGATGCTGTTAGGTTCAAACATAGTAAAGAATTTAATGACAAAAGTGCCACCGCGAACCAGGATGTGCAGCGCTGTAAAAACCTCACACAGATGCAAATGTGATACAATCGCTTCTTGTTTTGAAGGGTTATTCTGACAGTCAATACTTCCATCTGCTGTAACCTAAAAATCAAAAAAATTATACATAATAAATGTTTAACAGTAAATGACTAAACCAATGCATTATTCATATTTGAATTATTACAACTAATATCATTACTTATTCATATTTGAATTATTACAACTAATATCATTACTTATTCATATTTGAATTATTACAACTAATATCATTACTTATTCATATTTGAATTATTACAACTAATATCATTACTTATTCATATTTGAATTATTACAACTAATATCATTACTTATTCATATTTGAATTATTACAATATTTATCATTACTTATTCATATTTGAATTATTACAACTAATATCATTACTTATTCATATTTGAATTATTACAACTAATATCATTACTTATTCATATTTGAATTATTACAACTAATATCATTACTTATTCATATTTGAATTATTACAACTAATATCATTACTTATTCATATATGAATTATTACAACTAATATCATTACTTATTCATATTTGAATTATTACAACTAATATCATTACTTATTCATATATATCTCTGCAATTACTATTATAGGCATAAGAGAGTCAATTCTAGAGTAATATTTCCTATTTATGTTCACAGACACTACAATAGTTACAGGAAGCAGTTTTTCCACAATAACCACCATTAGTCATACATTTCTGACAATTAAGAACAAGTGTCAACATGCCCCAAAACAAGACACAGCATGCTGTACTTGTTAAGATCTGCAGAGGAAGTGATCAACATTTCCTTGCAGCAGCAATGATATTGGTGTTGTCTGGAAAATCTTATCTACAGATTCCATCTTTCATCAGCCTAAAAAAATGAAATGTGGAAGGTGACAAATCCAGACTATATGTTATGGTACGAAATTTGCAACATAACACAGTCTTCAAACTGATATGGGGTCTTACATTACTATGTTACGAGCAAAATGCTTTCTTCTTCTCTGGTATGAATCTGGAAATTCAGGCTCTCAGATTTAGTCAGCACTGAGTTGATGTTTTGTCCTCATTCCATGAAAATCAGATGGGTCCTGTCTTTCATATCCCAAACAAACAGTACACATCACTGTCTTTGTAATGAAGATTTTCTTTCATTGGAAAATTGACTGTCACCACTTCAGGGACAGTTGTTTTGATTCCAGCTTGTCATGACACCATATCTTGTCACTGGTGGTAACGCAGTTCAGGAAGGCATCAGCATCAGTCTTGTAGTGGTTCGGTAAGTCCTGGCTAACTTGCAGTCAGTAGTCTTTCTGAGCCTCTGTGAGCATCCTGCTGCTTGGCACAGATACTGCAATATCCCAACACTGTCAATGTCACTGAAGCTGACATTTCATTCCGTGGGTTGACTAGCTGCTCTGAATGGGGCTTGTCACATTAGCATTGCTGAATTACCCAACTGTGCTTCCATCTACTGTTTGGTCTCCATGAAGAGTCAGCAAGTGTCAGTATCAATTGGTGAATTTTTTCTACATGGAGGAATTCAGTGATGCATCTCTGATTGATACACATTTTTATATCAATCATTATTTTGCCAGGCTGCTACTAAGCTGCTCTCTGTATTACAGCAAAAGAAATTATGGGTTAATGGCAGGATGGTTCAAACACTTCTGCCATGACACTAACACTGGCACCAAATGTTGGGGAGCAGTATAATAAAATAAGAGGTACTACTCATGGAGCAACCTGCACGTACATAAATTTACACATACTGAAAGACATAAAGGAAAATAGAGAAAAGGAAAGAGAGAGAGAAAGAGAGTAAAATAATGAAATGAAACATGAAAGAGAAGGAGAGAGAAAAAAGATTGAAAAGAAAGAAAGAAGGAAAGGTAAGAGAAAGAAAAGGAGAGAGAGACACAAAAAGAAAGGAGAGAGAAAGAAAATAAAAGAAAGAAGAAAGAAAGAAAGAAAGAAAGAAAGAAAGAAAGAAAGAAAGGAAAGGTGAGAGAAAAAGGTAAGGGGAGAGAAAGAAAGGAGAGAGAGGAAATAAGATAGAAAGAAAGGAAAGGAGGGAGAGAGAAAGAAAGAAAGAAAAGCGAGAGAGAAAGAAAGGAAAGGAGAGAGAGAGAGAAAGAGAAAGGAAGAGAGAAAGAGAGAGAGAAAGGAAGAGAGAGAGAAAGAAAAGAAAAAGGAAAAAAGAAAATGTAATGACATTAAAAAGTGAAGAAATAACAGATATGAGGATCAAAATTTAGCTAACATCAATATGAACTGAATTTTGTACTGAGATTAATATTTGACACTGAATTAAGTAAATTGAAAAAAAAAAAGACAAAATTGTATTTAAAAAGAAATATTTCTTATGTAAAATAAATGCTAATTTTTTTATCTTTAGGCTGCTAACTTATTGACTTACCTTTTTATACTGCTAAAGAAAAGCGTAATAGAATTAGGTAAAACAAAATTATTAATAAAAGAAAGAAAAGAGTTTATTCACCAATTTCACAGATTCCTTGGTTTCAACAAGTTCCAGCAATTGCATAAAATTATTCTTGTTCATTATATTTCCAGTTCCATCTCCAAAAAACCAGTTTGACAAAGTCTTTCGAATGAGCCGGTCATCAACAATCATCTTGGCTAAATCATTTCCCTCATAATAGGGATTCAATGTTGTACCAATCCAGCCCCATTTACCAGTAAATGCTTAAAGAATATTTAAAAAAATATGATAAAATGTAAGATTACCAACCCTGGCTTAGAATTACAATTTTTAAATGCCTTGCTTTCTTCCTCTTCAACTATGGCAGTGAAAAACATGCCTTTTTCAACCTCCTTCAACTCACATGCTATGTAAGAACTTCAGAGACATCGCCAAAGACAGCATATGGACATTCGACAAGTAATGAAGTTAGTTTCTTTCTTTCCTTTTATGTAAACACATTTTCTTAATATGTTTATTGTTGGCTTAAAATCCATGAGTTATGTCTTTATTTAGTTGCTCTCCTATGCATCTATGAAAATATTGTTTGTGGGACATTTTCAGAGATGCAATATAAGACCAGGTAAATAAAAGACAGGAGTTATAGAATTTAAACCAACAATAAAAGAAATTAAGAAAACGTGTTTACAGAAAAGGAAGGAAAGAATGTAACTTTACTGCTTGTAGTTGCCAACTGTCTATACACAATCTTTGGTTGACATCTCTGAATTATATACCGTGTGTGTTGCAAGAGGTAGAAAAACGCATGAATTGTTCCCATGTTCAAAGAGAAAGAAAGCAAAGCTTTCAGATAACCATGTTACCTGTAATTCTATAAAGTACAAGATTTGGAAATAGACAAAGGTTTAATAAGAGATGAAGAAAAGAAGAAAATAAAATCTTTTATGACAAATATACAAATTAACTTTGGCCCAAATGTATGATTATTGTTGGTCCTAATCTATGTAGGAATGAATATTTATTGTATAATAATAAATACAAATATGGCATAAGGCCCAAAAATGGGAAAGACAGGTCATAATTGGTCTAAAGATATTATGTCATATATATGTAGTGGAATATGCATATAGATGTGAAGACTTAAATTAATCTTCAAACACAGATTTACAAATTTCAGTAATTCTTATTTATTTGAGCATTATTTTTCTCTCAAATTGAAAGAAATTAATTACAAAGATTCTTTGTGAATAACACAAAATATTTTAGGTATCTTTTTTTACAGTACAACTGAATAAATTGCGTTAATATAGCAAAAACAAAATGTGACAACATGTGTGCAGATGCATGTGACACCAATTTACATTGTTTTCTCTATGTATATAAATTTACAGCAGTCAACTGCATGAAAAAGGCAGGGGAGTTAGCTAATACTGTTGACACATGTAAACAAACTATACCTGCATGTTTTTCTTTTATGTGCCAATATCTCTAAGCATTTTTTTTTAACATTACATACTCAAATAAATATGTGAAAAATGTGAGCAATTAATTAAATGTGACAATTTCAGTTTTGTTTGAGTAACAAACAACTGAATAAACACCCTGGTCAAAAGTCTACTGAAAAAAATAGAGCAAACTAAAAATTGTGGTTTATATAAGAAAATATTGACTCCAAGAATTAGCTTTATTAATCTCAAGCTTATTGGTTAAATATTTTCCCAATTCTAAAATATCCATTTTAAGGAGGGAAAATAATGTTGATCATATTCTGAAGCGAACTTCCAAAATTTTATTTTAAGAAATTTTTATCGTTTGCAATTTCAAAGAATACCATGTCTCATATATCACTGGTTGGTTAATATATGTGAATACAAAAATTAAAATATTTGGAGCTAGTTTTGTACAAAAACTGACATTTCAGTTTAATTAGGTATAAGGAACGAGATACAATGATGAAAAAAGGCGTAAAATGAAAACAAAATTTTATCGTCTAAATGTTTGTTATTCATTAAGGGAAAGGTCAAAAGTATTTTGGGGTATTTTTTTCCATTTTTTAATCGCTAGAAATTTTAGTTAAAAATTAGTTTTTTTGAGTCAGCAAAATTGACCATTTTTTCCATTTAAAAAAACTGAAATCTGAGAAATTTTTTTAAATATCAATTATCATTTTTTAAAACTTATTTTAAGAAAATCAAAAATTATAATGTTTAAAAAATATTTTGAACAAACTTAATAGCTTTTTTATCAAAAAAGATGTAATTTGAAAAATAAAACAAAGCAGGTCATAAACTTTCGCGTCTCTTGACATGTGATGAATGATATAAAAACCAGATTAAAATTTGTTCTATTTAAAGGAGAAAAATGAAATAAGGAGAAAATTTCGTGAACAAATTATTTTGGGTTATTTTTAACGAAAAACTTTCAAATAATTTTTTACTTTTCAATTTTATGTTTATGATGCTTTATGGAAATATATTGTAAAAAAATTAAAATAAAACTGTTAAGAGTGACATTAAATTTCATATTTCTTAAGAAAAGGTAATTAATTTACAAGGTACCTTTCTTATGAAATTTTATCAGAATTGTACATAAAATTAGGAAATTTATGTACATTTATTACATTCTACTGTTATTTGTATTTGCATTCATTTTATTATTAATTTTGATATTTCATTCAGGGAAAAATGTCGTAATTTTGAGATTAATATAAAAATAAGATCATATAAATTTCATAAGATGATTGATACTTGGGTAACCTTCTCAGTTGAAATTGAAAATTTACAATTAAAAGTAAAAGGCATTCGGAGAACATTGCTTAAATAACAATTTAATTATATTCTGGTTGGTCTTCCGTATTTTATAATTACAACTCGATTATAAGCACAAAATTACATTTCTTAATTACTGGGGATCTTCTGATTAGTCAAAATGATACAATTTACAAAAATTAAAAAAAGATCCTATCTCATAAGGACACTTATATCTAATTTTATAATATTTAACAACTTAAATGTAAAAATCTATTATAATTAATGAAATAACAAATAATTGTATTAAAAATTCATTTTTTCATCGGAAAATTTTCGAACTTTCAGACCCCATATTCATAAAAACAACTAAAAAGCAAATAAAAGCATTTGAAATTAAATAATATATTTGTTTTATTGAGTTTGTATGTTACAATTCAGAGCTGATTTTCAGGTACTGGGTTTCCAATTAAAACAAAAAAAAACATGGTTTGCATTCCTCAAAGCCATGTGATAATCACTAAAACCGATGCGATCAATTTCTAGCGTTTTCATAAAATTAGTTATTGGGGGGGTAATAAATATTTTTTAAAAATATTTCTAACTTTCATAAAAAAATATTTATAATAATTTGATCATCTGTGAATAGTTCTGAAAGTTTCATTAACATCCGATAATTATTTCTATTTTTGAACGATTTTCAAATTAATGTGTGTCATACCAAAAAAAGGCAGTGCTAAAAATTGTCTATGTTATTTACTAGTTCCATGTTGATACAAATAGAAACAAGGAACAAATTTGGAATTTTCTAAAAGAAGGAAAATTTTTTAAAATAATTAAAAAACTTTGGTCTTTCCTCCTCAAAAATAACATAAGCATTTAGACAATAAAATTTTATTTTGACAGGTTGGTCTTTTTCATCAACTATGTTTTTTTTGGCATGTACCTAACTTTAACTATGACATTTATCTACAATTCTGAAATAGGGTTACATACATATGTATGTATGTATGATGTATATACATATCTGAGATGGTATTATGTACACTATTTACATTATTCAGACAGTGTTCTCATCTTTCCTCGCCATATTTATTACAACGTTTAACGTAAATTCTTCAGGAAGAACTGAACCCTTTATTTCGCTCACTGGGGTAGACTGTTCTGGGTATTGAACTCTAGGATCCTGTCACTGGATCCAACGACCTTATCCACTGTGCCATGTTAAAAGTGGAGAACTGAGAGGGAATTAACAGAAGATAATGATAACTGACAATTAAAATGGCATGTGGAACTAGAACAGGGCACCCAGTGAGTGAAATAAAGGGTCAGTTGAATAATTAACAGCCGAAATGTTGTAATAATGCAACAAAGATAGGCATGAATAATATATACATAAAAACCTAGTGAACCAGAGGCTACCTATCTAGGTTTCTTCCAATGGATCATCAGGGTAATACTGGCTCTTTTTTAGTTTTTACTCTACTCAAGCCCCTCAATACACTGAGTAGAGTAGTTGTCTAATCAGTTTCTTGATGTTAAGATGAAATTCATCAAGGAAATATTTTTTTTAATCCAAGTACTTTCAATCTAAGATCATCTTCCGGGATAAATTACAAAGACAAACTTATTGTAACTGTGATAAAATCTGCATTCTGTTGTGATGGGGATTTTTAAAAACATGCTATGACACAATCAAGCCCACCTATATAACTCACACCTTCCCCTACCTATGCCTCACACCATTACTTCCCAATAGGTGTAGGCAATTCCTCCATCTTTCATGGTTTTTCTTCTATGCCTTTAACCTCAGTTGTCATTTTGACAATTCTGATTTTTAAACCCTGTAGGAGAAAGGGTTAGGCTTAGCCTATGGTCAATAATTAGAATTATCATTTTATTTTTTCATCAGCAAATTTTTCCCAGCTTGGTCTTGTTCCTACAATCAGAAACTTACCAGCTGTTTCCTCTGGCAGTTTTCTCCATATCTTGTTAAATCAATTGCACTTATGAACCCTGGGCTGGGTCTTTCAATAAAGAAATTCTGTTTCTCAATTTGTTTACAATTTCCACTTTTTGATAAGAGGACTAAATCAGTTTCTCAATTCTGCTTTGTCTTTTACAATTAACAAATATTATCTTTTCAATCAACTTTCTTTTCTGGCTGGTCCCTAGGAGATGTTTGTATAACTTCCATGTTAAGGCGGCATCATCCATCACTTGTCAGCTTAGCTTTTCAAGATGGCCTCTTTGAAAATATCTTTCCCAAAAACAACAAAGTTACTTTCTTCAAGCCATCTCTGCTTAAAAAAATAACCTTTCAAAATTAAAAGCAATTTTACTTTTTTCTCTAAGTTTATTTAGCATTCCATTCTTTAACCATTTTTTATTTTGTTCCAAGTTATATTTTAATTTTAACCCTTTTCTTTCCATTTACCAGTGTCACAAAGTGAATATGCTATGTTATAGTTATTTTAAAATTTTAAGTATTAATGGAATTTTTTCAAAACAAGCATTTCAATATAAGTGAGCTGACTGGAAATTGGCAGAAATGTAAAGTAGCATTAAACATTATATGCACTTTAATATGTTGTTGCTATATTCATAAAAAATTTTGTTGAGTGTTGACTTTGATTTCAAGTGCCTTGAAAATTTGAAGTTTTTGTTTATTATTTTTGTAGTGGAGTATTATGGTTGTTGTCAACAAGTATTTTCCTGCATTGTGAACGTGGACAAGAATGTGTTTTTAGAAGTTGGGTAATCAAACTTGTATCTGACAAATGAAATATAAGACATCTTGACAATGCTGTGATTGTTAAGCCAACATATGTATTTAGTTTTTAGTCAGAGATATAATCTCCCAAAGGACATTTCAATCTGATATACAATGTTGTTTTTTTCCAAAACACTAGTTGACAGAGAAGAGTTATTGCATATGATTAAATTGGTTGTGTTAAATTTAGAATAATATATAATTAGTTTTATGTTTTTTACTGGGATCAGTGGGGAATATATTAGTACTTATGAGATTTTTTGGGACTTTTTCATGTTGTTTATAGTTAGAATACATTTAATTATGGTATGCTTGATATGTTTAGAGTGATTTCAGAAAGTATTATGTTCTTTTTGATTTATGTCAATATTTCTAATAGCTCATCTAATTTGTTCATCAACGATAATAATATTAATAATGACTTAAAAAACAAACTTATGGCACCTTCCTTGATGAATTTCATCTTAACATCAAGGAACTGATTAGACAACTGGAAAGGGTCAATATAAAAATAAGTAGATGTCTATATTATTCAATGAAACATCTTTGAATGAAGCTATGCTGCCTATATATATATATATATATATATATATATATATATAATGATGAAAGTGGAGATTTTAGAAATCCATTGGTAATAATTTATTTCACGGGATCAAACCATCTCTTCAGACCAAACAATTTTACAACTATGAATTCTAAATTTATCCAAGTCTGAACAAAAAATGAATTTTAGATTTATCCAGGTTTGGATAAATTTAAAATTCATTTATTGTTGTAAAATTGTTTGGTCTAAACAGATGGGCGTCAGATCCCATGAAATAAATTATTACCAATGGATTTCTAAGGATTCTGCTTTCATTATTATATTTGCTCTGTTCTTACATTGAGCTCTCTTTGGAATTATCAAATAATATTATATAAGTGATTTACTAAGCATAGTTTACATGTGGCACAAGGCCAAAAGTATGAAGGATCCAGTGAGGATCAAACTCACTTCTTCTTTATGTGTCATCCCCTCAGGATGTAGGTGATCATGGCTTTACACAACTTCTTGTCCCTTGTAGCTATTAATAAACTTTGACATTCTGTCATTTCTCAGAAACCCTGTTCTGTCATCAATTTTCCCTTGCTCACTATCTGTCCCTTTCTCATTATATACCACAGAAACCTACTCAGTTTTAACTGATCTAGCAAAACAAGCTTGTTAACCATTTCACCATGTCAAAGTGCATCAATCTGCATAGGAATGACTGCTAAGATCATCCCCCTCCCTAAATTTATAGACAAATCCTACAGATACATGTTGGGATTTCTTCTTAACTAATAAAATGGACCACTTCTCAGTTTCATCCACCATATTTTTGTTCTTTCTTGTCTTGAACAGTATAATCACTTGACTGTATCCCTTTTGCATGTTAACACCATTCTTACTTTGTGAACCTTTTGCATTATTGCTGTTGCATTGCCTACTTTTGTCTATATATATATATATATATATATATATATAATTATACTTAGTACTAGCAGTAGAGCCCGGCGTTGCATGGGGATGTAACAGTAAGAGATAGATCAAGTACCGACCATCATAAAGACTGAAAAATAAAATTGACAAAGATTATTGTTTAAGGTTGACGGACACGCATGTCTTAATTAGTTTTTTTTTCTTTTTTTTTTGTGAATACATCAAGCAGGGATTGGAACTTGGTTCTCCAATTAACAATTCCAAGCCATTATACATTACACCACCTGCACATCCAAGCTTACAGCACCTGGTATTCCTAAGTGGTCACTCATCTAGGTACTGGCCAGGCTTGATGTTGTTTATCTTCAGCGATCATATGCAAACCGGTGTTTCAGATAATCTTCTAATTATCGAATTTCAATAAAATTTTTCAGCATCTATTTATTCATGAATGAATTTATTTATGAAAAGCAACAAAAGTTTTAGGAAATAATTTTTTAAAGTCACTCAACTCCAACTTTTGAAACCTTGATAAAAAACATTTTCAACACAAAAATATACAAATATATATGTCTTTAGACAAATCAGTTAAAAAAAAATCATTTGAAGAAAAACAAAATTAAGAAAAAAAACCCATCCCCAAAAAATGAATTTTTATGTTTTAAACTTTTTTATTATTTTATATTCTCCTTGAACAATAAAATAAACAAAGACAAAATCCAATAAAGTGGAGATTTTTTTTTAACCAGAAATAACAAGATTTTCCTGTTTCTTAATACTGTGCTTAGCTTTTAGGTAGCATCTTTCACTATCTCAAACTGCTTAACATACACAAAAGCATTTTTCTTTTTTATAATGACTACCTTTACACTAGATGTGTAGTGTAATGGAGAGAAATCAAAGAGCTGAGTCCAAATTCCAGTTGTGTCCGTTACACTCACTTACTCTTGGGAAAAGTAAGAATTCAGCTTTTCTCAATGCTATGCATGGAATAGCAGGATAGACTGGGTTCTATAAGCTTTTGGCAGTCAGTCTGTCACAGAAAGAAACAGCAGCTTACTGTGGAAAAATCTTCTACCTAGTCAGTCATAAATCAAAAGAGATATGATCGCCCAAATATGTATCACATACAACACTTAACTGACTGACTGACTGACTGACCTTTAAACTATTTTCTTACCGTTAAAACTAAAATTTAAACTTCAGAAGATATTTAATTTAATGCAATACTGAATAATTATTTTTTTAAAAACCATGAAATTTTTTATTATGGAAAACATACTACAGCGTTATAATTGATTTTTGTGTCTGTACCACTCAAAGTCAAATTATACGTGAAATAAAAAAAAAATCTTACCTTTGTTTGATAAATAATGATTGAAAGAGGTAATAAAAGCCCCTGGGGCCTCACATAGGTGGACTGTAAACAGGTGAGGGTCATCAACAGAAACAACTGGGTAAGACCAGAGGATTTCAAAAAACTTACACCATGCTTGAGTACATAACTCAGGTTTAAAGTTTGCTCGTAGAGTAGAGCACACAGTGCCAGCTAGGTTTGTGGCTGATGTATGAGCATGCCAAGCCTTGATGTCCTTGTCACTAAGACTGTCTTTGCATATATTCAGCTGGTCTCTCAGCTGAGACATTGCCTCATGATGCCAATCTTGTTCATGGGGTGAAGTAGCAAGACTTGGCCATGGCCATTCTTCATCGCCTCTTGAAGTGTAGCAGAACTTCTTTTCAAAAAGCTGATTAATTTCAATTAATTCCTCTGGAGACAGATCCATTAAATCTGAAAGGAAAGAAAAATCTTTAAGAATTCCATTTTTACTAACATCTTCATCTTACAGCTTTTTATCCAGTTTTTTTTTTGAAGACATGTTTGCCACATGATTAAACTAGGATCATCTACCAAAAATCACTTTCTTTTTAAAATGGCATTCACCTGTGATCATTTTAGCCAGCTCTGTCAAATGAATCTGCTGCATCCTGAAAAATGTGCAAATTCTTGATGGAAATTTGGATTCAGAAGCAGTCCCCAGTCACATGTATACACACTTTAGGATAGGGTAATCTGAGCAGTTCCAGGTTGATTTGAATTCACTTTTCCTTCTCATAGACTGGTTGCCAACCAAAGCTGAAGGTCCAAGCTGTCCTGCCATTTACCCATAGCTGGTAGGAGTATAGATTGATTCATACCATTCTTAAGGGTATTAGCATGTAAGTGAATCTAATAGACTCCTTTTGTGTCAGATATGTTTGCCACATAATTAAACTAAGATTTCCCACCAAAGATGATCTTTTTTTTTTTAAAAAGCAGCATTCAGCCAGGATTGGTTGTGCTGGTTCTGTCAAATGAATCTGCCACATCCCAAAGGATGTGCAAATTTATAGTAGGAGTTTCAGTGGGAATTTGGATTCACAAGCGGCATCCAGCTGTATGTATACACACTTTAGGAGAGTGCAATCCAAGCAGTTTCAGGATGGTTTCAGAAAGTTTTCCTTCACCTAGACTGGTTTCCAGCCAAGGCTAAAGTGTTATTTACCCATAACTGAGTGAGGCTGGGTGGAGAGATGGATTCATATCTTTCCCAAACGTATTAGCTTCTAAGTGAATGTAATGGAATTCTTTTGTGTCACACAAACCCAACCTTGTAACCCACTATAATTTTTTGTAACACAAATGTTGAAATTCACACAGTATTTAGTATTCTTGAATTTATTGCTAACATTTTTTGCTGGGATTTACAAACTCTACGTTTCATTCAATTTCGCAAACCAATCGATGAAATTTGAATAAGCTGATTTGTTTGGAAAAATACTTTGACAAAAATCCTACTTTGCGGTTTAATAATTTCTTTAATTTAATTTAACTTCATAGGACTTCATGGTAAACCACACTTTTTAAGAAAATTTCTTTTTTCCTTTTTAACAGTGAAGAATAAATTCTTAGGATTTCTTACTTTTGAGCATGCAACAGACAACTGGCCATGCATAAATATTTCTTTCTGGAGCCGAGCCAAATTTCAACATTTTGAAGTGTTTAGCCTTGTGATTTGTTTATAGTTCTCGCAAATGCATGGTAATCTGGAAACTCGAATCTTGTATATAAAACTTAAAGAAAAGATATTCAAAAAACAAAATTGTATTTTCGTTAAATAAGTATTTGTTATTTTAATCCTTAAATTGTTTTTAAAATATCAGGAGTATTTTGTATGTTAAATAATGAAACTTCATTTTTCTAAAAAAAGTCAATGAAAATTTATTGTACTAAGCTATGCACCCTAGTAAAACTAACTGTATCCCCTTACCTGTTTGAACTTCTCCCCCCAATTTTTTTTTGATTTGTCAATGCATGGCTATTTTAGAGGGTGTGACAGATGGATGGACTAATGAAGTCAAAGTAATATATATATATATATATATATATATATAATTATTTATTTAAAAATATGATTCCAACTCACGACATAAGAGGTCTCATGTTTCAAAACAAGAGCCGAAAACTTCAATATAATTATTTGAATTAAATTGAGTTAAAGTAAGCTCTGTTCCATCTTCAAGTGAAATTTATTTTGGAATAACGTATTTCTGAAATTTACGTGTTTTAATAATTGAAATCAAAATTTCCATGGTAACATCTACGGCAAATTGTTTAAATTGGGTAGGCATGTGCTGAGTGTTAATAATAAGTATCAGTATAGAGTTACTTTCATAGATGTCAAGTCAGGGAAAGGTGGGGGTGTCTAAATTTGAAACGGAAGATGTATTAACCCTAGTCTGGTATACGTGTCTATGGAGATTTATTTATTTTTTTATTTTATTTTTATTTTTTTTTTATGAAAGGGATTTGTGCATATAAAAAAAACTGCCATAACGTTTGTTTTTTGACGACTTCATAAAGGGTTTATATATATATATATATATATATATATATATATATAGAGAGAGAGAGAGAGAGATTAATGCTCACCATAAAAACTAATATTAATTACAGGTTTATAAAAAATGCCATATTAATTATAGATTTTATGGATGTGCAGGTAGGATAAGAGTTATCAACTCCAAAAAAGATACTGGCAAGCTAAGACTGAATTCCATCCAATTACATTAGCAATTTTTCAAGAATTAATGGATTTATTTTTAATTTGACATTTTTATTACTTCAAACGTTATTATAGCGGACAGATGCATTAGAAATAGATGTTCTATTTTTATTTTAAACAGTATGCATTACATCCATCAGCTTGTGCATTCGAGAAATGTTAATTAAGAAAATGTGTTCCCCAGCATGATGGAGTCAACTTACACACAAATAAAAGAAAAGCTATGAATCCATCTCTTCTTCTCCCCACCTATGGATTAAATGGCAAAGAAGAGTGGGCTATCTACCCGCAATTGGTAAGCAGTCTAGGATAAGAGCAAGTTTGAAAAAAAAGAGTACTGAATCATTACATGATATCTGTTCTCCTATATGGTAGTGAATGCTGGACAAGAGAGTTGAAGCAACAGAAATGTGGTTCTACAGAAGGATGCTGAGGATACCATGGACAGAATATGTGCGCAACGACAAAGTTTTAGAGAAAATGGAAACAAAAAGGAAACTTATACTTAACATCAGGAAGAGACAGTTGAAATTTCTAGGGTACATAAAGAGGAAAGAGGGCTTGGAAAATCTGATATTCACAAAATAGATAAAGGCAAATGGGACAGAGAAAAACAACACATAACATACTTAGTGAGCTTGAGTAAATAGATGAAGAACAGGGTTTAGGAGAAATAACAAAAAGAAATTAAGAGCTATAAAGGATAGGAAATTGTGGAGAGCCATGACTGCCAATATCCTGAATGAACATTAATGGCAATGATGTCTCATTTTAGTAATAAGAACAGGGTTTAGGAGAGATAAGAAACAGATAAAATATATTAAGAGCTACAAAGGACAGGAAATTGTGGAGAGCCATGACTGCCAATATCCTGAATGAACATTAATGGCAGTGATGTCTCATTTTACTAATAAGAACAGGGTTTAAGAGAGATAAGAAACAGACAAAATATATTAAGACCTACAAAGGACAGGAAGTTGTGGAGAGCCATGAGGGGACACAGCACATAAAGACAACATCTGCTAATTAAACCAGGAATAAACTTTAAATCTCCTTATATTGCAAATAGAGTGAAATAAACTGTCAGGTAGACAATAGCAAGATTTTGTCCTGGCCCTCTTTCCTCTCTTCTGTCTAGTGTATTATCACATATTAATCTAAACTTCAGTAGATAAATAATTCTACAGTTAATAGAGAACTGTCCTAGCTTGGAACACTAAGTATGTAGCCCTGGCGAGATGTGTACTATACAGCCATTGAAAAGATTACACCATTCACAATTAACAGTGGCACAGCATTGTAGACTATAATCTCTATTGAGGTTGAATTAGAAAAAAAATATGGGATATCTTTAATCTGTGTGCCCACAAAAAAATAAATAAAATAGTGTGTCAAAATGATGGTTTTTCACTTGATACCATTCATATTTTAACTACATTCACTCTTCAGTAATGTTTATTGTTTTAAAAAGCAATAATTAAAATTGTAATAAAATCTAAACTAAAATGAATTTATTTATTTTGTTTTTGTTCTTGGGAATTTGCAAAAATATTAAACACTATTTATTAGATTTACAACATTCTTAAAACTAATTCAATGCAATATTTATCATTTACCAATTTAAAAAGAAATAAATATGAGAATAATTTTGTATTCATAAATTTATAAACATTTACTATTAAAATATGTGAACCAACTATAAAGGAAATTTTTATTATTTACCATTTTATAAAGTTCAAATCGATTGACAATTAGCCGATGTTTTTTCCAATAAACAATCCAATAAATAAATAGCATAAATAAACAAAAGATAAATTACATGAGTGAAAATAAAATATTATGTATATTTGCTAAATAAAAATTGAAACAGGTGATGAAAGCACCTAGACATCACATATCAGGCATAAAATAAAAAGTTGGGAGATAAATCAGTTTGAAAGATCCCTTATTCCACATTTTTTCATAAAATGAATATGTTTTAGATCTATAATTCAACTGTAAATATTATCATTGTAATTCGTTTTATACGTTGAAAAATTCTAGCCGTTTCATTACAAAAAAAAAAAAAAAAAAAAGTGTATTTAATACACATTTTTTTTTTTGCTTGTAATGAAACAGCTAGAATTTTTCCACATATAAAATGAATTACTGTTAGAATGCATATTTTCAAAAATAAATAAAAATTCACGAACAATTGATTTCAACATCAGGGAATTATTAAATTTAAAGAAAATTCTCAAATTCTCTTAAATCCACTAATCTTTGATACCTAAGGTTTAAAATGATTTTTTAAAAATGAAAAAGAATTCTTGAAGTTTTCTTTTTAGCTTTAATAAAAACCTAAATGATTAAATTTATTTCCAGTAAGCAAAATACTCTAGTGTATTTCAACTGGAAATTATATTGATTGAAATCGATTTCGGCCATTTTGACACATTTGTAAACAAAAGTTAATTCTCTGTTTTAAAAATCTTCCAAAAATAAAATATACTTCTCTGGAACTTTATTTGAGCAATATTAACTGATTTAAAGTCTAATTAATCTGATTTGGAAAAAATATTATTTACTTTACTTTAAAGATAACAGAGAAATGGATTTTTAAAACAAACAGTAGTGGTAATTACATACTTCTCATTGCTTGTCAATTACTAACAAGTGCTGATAAAGGTGTTAACAGATTTATTATTGTTCTATGGAGACTTTATCTTTCAAAATATAATTTTGAAAAATGACAGGTGAGTCTCTATTTTTATATAGTTTTTTTAAGTACTCAGTAATAAAACTGATCAAAAATATTCTCTGTAATGTAATTCCTAAGAATGTTGACTTTAAATTTACTTTAGTCATCACTCTTATTTTCTGATAATGTCATGTATGGTCGACTATACTTTCAAAAATGGGCATGCTATTATTTTATATACATAAAAAAAATAAAAAAATTTTTTTTAAATCTTGGTGAAAAATGTATTTAAGCTTTTCAAATTTTGATTAGTAAATATGATTTTTTCACTTAACAATATCACCTAATCGGATGACAGTAATGCAGAATTTTAAAAGATTTTTATATATTATACATTAATATAGTTAAAATTTTTAAAAAAATGAAGATAATTCTTGTAACAATTCATCATTCATTGAGAGAGGTGTTGTCTGGGGAACTGCAAAAACTGCATTTATGGTTGATCCTCATCCCAAAAAGTTTTGTGGCATGAAGTAAAGTAGGCATTTCTACTTTTTTGCTAAAAACTGATGAAAAAGGCCCCAAACTTAATAAAAACAAAGTTTTATCGTGAAAAAGTTTGTTATTAATAAGAGGAAAGACCAAAGTATTTTTTTTAATTATTTTTCAAAATTTTTCTATTCCTTTTTAGCACATTTGAAATTTTGGTTGAAAATCTTGTTTTTTTTTTAGGCCAGAGGTCGACATAATATTTAGCATTAGGCTTTTTAGTGCCTTTTTCAGTTGAAAACACATTAATGTGGAAATTCTTGCAAAAATCAAATAATTGTCAGATTTTAACGAAACTTTCAGAACTTATTAAAAAATGAATGAATTTATTTTAGAAATGTTTGTTTTTAGAAAGGCATGGTAAAAAATATATTTTTTTTTTTACATCTGTTACCTCAACCCCTTACTTAGTTTTATGAAAACTTGAAACTGGATGTCTCTGTAATTTTTTAATTAAATGCAGAAGACCTTCAAGAATATAAATCATCAATTTTTTTTTTTGTAAAGAATTATATGCATATACCCAAACTTTAGCTTTGAATTATAAAATACAAAACTCAATAAAACTAAGACATTATTTAATTAAAAAAGCTTTTAATGGATTTTATGAATAATATATATTAAGGACATTTTTGTCTGAAGCCAAATTTTTTTTTGATGAAAAATGAATTTTTACAAGAATTGTTTTTTTTTTTTTTCAATTTTAAATGAAAAATGTGAAAAGCTTGATAAATGTTTTAAGTTTGAAACTGAGTGACTGGATTAGTGACTCTTATTAAAAATTCTATTTTTACTGATCATAAATTAGAAAGCTTACTACAATCTGTTACATGCATCTATTTTTAAAATAATTTTTTATTATGCCAAAAAATGTATTAAAAACATCTCCAATAAAACTATGGAAGCACATTTCTGAAAAAAATGTCACATGGGCTAGAGTTATTTCCCCTTATTGCGAGGACTCGTTCATTATTGGCATTGCTTTTGTACTGTTAGCATGTGTCAAATTCTTTGGGTGACCATTAATGGCGCATTTTCAAAATTTTTCTTAAAGAAATAAAATCTCATTTCAAAAATGAGTTAACCGTTTCATTTATGAAATGTTATGGTATTTTATTTAATTTTTATATTGTCTCAGTTAGGAAAAAATTTCTTGAGACAATATAAAACTTCATTAAAAAATACCATAAAAATTTTATAGTAAGTGTACATAACAATTATGTTACTATTTTTTTGTCTGTTATAAAATTTTAATTCAAAATGTATTTTTCATAGTTTTAAATGTTATATTTATTCCAGAATTCTCCCTCAAACATATAGTAAAAAAAAAAAAAAAAGAATTTTTGAAAGTGTATTTTTTTTATTTAACTCTACTAACTAGGTTCACTTAAGATTAGCACAAATTTTGTCCTACCATCTGATAAATACCCCTGATGTAAATTGTCAATACATTGACGTATGTCAAATCAAACCAATCTCCACAGTTGGACATGTCTCTTATAAAAACTTTTCTGCTAAAAAAAATATGTAATGTTTCTTTCAAATTACATTAAGACTTATACTTTAAATTTTCTAATTTTCCTAAAAATAACATTTGAAAAAAGTATAATTGAATTTTACCAGATTTTTAAATGGGGAATTTCAATTTTGTTTACAAAACAGTCAATAACAATTGATTTTATGTAAGTTTTGATGACTCAAAAAAAAAACAAAATTTTTTGCTAATATTTCGGACGTACTAGAAATGATTAAAAAATTTCAAAAAAATACTCAGAAATACTTTGGTTTTTCCTCTTAATAATGACAAACATTTAGACAATAACATTTGTTTTTAATCAAGTTTGGGGCTTATTTTCATCGGAGTATGCTCTTTTTTAGCGAATTAAAAAGATACATAAGTTTTATGACCAATCATAAAACAAATTTTGATGAGCGAATTGACTGTTGTTAACATTTGAACTAACTAAAATGTAAAAAAAAATGTCGAGAGTTAATTCCACTCGTCAATAGATGTGTTGAAAAGGCGTCGTAATTTTATTCAAGCTTTTTGTTAACAACATAAATAAATACAAGTAATTTTATTTTTATATTGTTTCATCGATAAAACAAAAGACACTTTGAATAATTATCAGCATATTTTTAATCTCATGCCGCTAAAGTTATTAAAAATTTGGCGCTGAAAAGTTCTAGGCCCCACCCACTTGACCAAATACCAAACATTATTAGTAGATTTTATTTTTTCTTTCTTTCTTGAAATGGCTTCTCGCTTCTTATAATAAACTGTAAAAACGCAATATAATAACTTGGTAATGATCAAAAAAAGTCTATATTTTTAACAGATTAATACCTTTAAAAAAAATTCGATTCCCTTGAAAAAGAATGAAAAAAAGTAAGAGAGAGAATAATAAATCAATAATAATGAAAATGAAACCGACGTCAATAAAACTATTCGACCTGAATCATTCATTGTTTTCAAATTCAAGAAAATAAAAGATAAAATTAGATTGGCTCTTTTGTTTATAAATTATACGCACGGAATTCATACAGGCAAATTTTTTTCTTCTAAATAAATAGTCCCTAAACGAAAAATAAGCAAAATATGATATTTTTACCTGATTTCTGAAGTTCAAATGAACTTGTTACCACGATAGTCGTTTCGGTGTTACTGGATTCGGTGTAAATTGAAAAATTGACACCAATATATTTTCTTCCTTTTCTTACGAAAACAAAAATAAATAAAAAAATGGTCAAGTCCGTAATTAGCAAACTCTGTAAATATTTATTAAGTTCAGTTTAATCAGTTTTATTTTGTCTGGGTTTATAAAATAATAAGAGAATTCATTAAGAAATCTTACTGTCCTGCCGTATGAAAACCATTTTCAAAGAAACTTGACTAAAATAAGAAACAATTTTTCTAAAACACCTCAACAATTTCCAGAATATAAAATTTTGGATTTGATTTAATAATTTACACTTTATCTTGTGGGAGTCGGTGAACTAATATGGTGGTCTGTTAGTGTGGAGATGTGGAAGTCACCAAAGTAGGTGTTGAATGGCCTTTTAAAAATGCATGCAAAGATAATTAATACAAAGATTGCATGTACATTGTACCGATAAAAATTTGTATCTCTCAAAATAAAATATACAATAATAGTCAAAAAGTTCATAAGTCTCTATCAGAAAGTACTCGTGTAAAGTGTAAAGTCTTTATAAGTCTTTTAATGAGAGAGAGAGAGAGAGAGAGAGAGAGAGAGAGAGAGAGAGAGTGTCTTTGTTAATCTGTAGGTAAATATTTCTTCATAGCAGTAATTCTTTTGACTATCTGTGAGATTTTTAGGTCTCCAAAGCTTAAATGAAATTCTTTTCAGTAGCTGATCTGGTCCATTTGCCTGCTTGTCACAATCTGTCTTAACACTTTTTTTAAGACAATAGAATTCATTCCCGAATTGTTCTTGATTTTGATTGGTTCCAGAAATGTCTCATTTGACAGTCCCTTTTTCTTCACCGACATTTAGGAATAATAATCATTTGGCTTCTTTTATTTATTTCTTTATTTTTTCTTTTTGTTTTTATTTCTTTATGGCAAACCAAAATGGTTTGCCAACTTTTAGCTTTCTATTTTTTTCACTTTTGAAATAGTGATCTTTCTATTTTTCTATCATGACAATCTGATTGATTGTAGTGATAGAAAAAAATATGAACAAACCAAACTCATGAACATGTTTCTTTGTTTTCAGGAGAAAAATAATGATCACATCAGGATCACCAACTTGTTGTGGGTGTTTGAGTTGGGAATAACAAAAATGGAGGACTTGCATGTGGGGCCACCATGATAAAATACAAAGAAACAACACAAACCAATACATATACAAAGAAATGATAATGTATTAACAAGAAAGGTATACAAGGGACAAAGACAATGATGTGTGTAAAAAAAGAAAGTGAACACTTTTTTGGTTCAAAGGATGTAAAGTAAGTGAATGTGCATATGTACATGTGTTGTGCATGTGTGTGTTTGTTTTGTTCACGTGTTTCCCAATGGGAAATGCATTTTCCATGAATGATTTACACGTAAGCGGAAAAAATAAGAAGAGAATGCAAAAAATTATTACAGAGTATTTATAGTGCCGGAGAATGTCCCCTAGTAGCAGTTTCAGGAAAGTAAGTAGAGTTAATTCTGCAATAGTCAAGATAGACATATGAAGTCTACATGAATAAGTAGTCAAGTGAGATACACTTGTGGGAGAAATATTCTATGAATTATTGCATTGTATTCCAGTTGGGATTATTACATTCATTCATGTACAAATACCTGTCTCTTCTTCTCCCAGCTATGGGTTGAATAGCAGGGCAGACTGAGTTCTATAGCCCTGGTTGGAAACAAGTCTACCACAGAAAGAAATGGCAACCTACTGAGGGAAAATCTTCGGCCTAGTCAGTCATAAATCATATAAGATATGATTGACCAAGTATGTATCATGTATGGCACTTAAGTAAGTGAATAGTTGAAAATTAGTTTCTGCTATTGCTGGTTTCATTGCTGGCTAAAGGCATTGTTGTTGATGGAAGCACTATGGTGTTACTGCTGATGACCTGGACAGTTATGCAGTCTGCTGTGCTCAGTTTGATCTGACTCCATAGGTGTAATCAACATTGGCTTTATAGTCAGTGAGTGGCTTAGAAATGGATGTCACAACAATCACATAGACCTTAATTGGTCAGAAAAGATATTTTATGATCCTGGTGTTTTTGGACAGTATTCTGGAAATTGGTGCACATGGCCGGACAAAATTAAGGTCTAGTTTTTGTCATATGCACTGTGGATGTTGAAGTGAGCATTTCCATATGATTTAAAGAATTGGAGTTCTGACAGGTTACAACAGTTATTTTAATGTTATTATTAGATGTCATATCACTTAATATTACTGCTAATTGACAAATATTAATCAACTGAAATTAGTGTTATGAAATAACTATTGGTATGGTTCTTATTCTTCATACCAAATGTAATGAAATACATGTTATGGGGCTCAGTGATGTGTTAGCCTATGAAAAACCAAGGGAAAAATATATTTTGTGGGTTTAGTTAAAAGAGATTGGGTAGAATTGAAATCAAGTGACAACATGGTGCACTGTAAAAAAATGCTGAGAGATACTCATTGAGATATAAAACCATAACAATTTTATTAATATAAAATAAAAGAAAATTTTACTAAATATTAGGGATGCACAAATTTGGTGGTTTGTGTGCTCTAAAAAGGGAGTAATAATTTTGTGAACAATAACTTATTTTTTCTAAAAAAAAGTGCTCAATGGTAGTTGTGGGAAAGGATCAAGTTTCCAATCAAAATCAATCAAATAACATGAAATATCAAAAGAAAAATGCCAGCATATACCAAACAATGCAAATTACAAGGATGAATTTATGATAAAAGGGTTTCAGTGAGGTTGAATTCAGTTAAAGTTATAAAGAGTGAATTTTTTTAATAGTTCTTGTGATTTGATGTGAGTTCATGACCGAAACCATTCGTGCCTTCAAAGATCAGAGTCTTCAACACAGATCGTAGTTTTGAGAACAGTACTTGTTCTCTGTCATGGAAATGACTATTTTGTTACAATAGTTGGCGTGAAAATAAGACTTAATTATGTCGTGAAAATGACAATTTGGTTGTTAAAACTTTGTTGAGGAGAGAATTGACAGCCACTTCTTTGAGTCCACACTCAGTCAGATTTTCAGATGTTTTTAGAAGGTGTTGTGTCTCTTACTGCATGGCAAAGTATCTCCTACTCTTTTTTATGTTCATATTACAGGGGTTTTTATAGACAATGGGCTGCCCTGATTTACCTGAAAAACTTTGGTGGTCAACATGATGTACAATGAAATACAATTCAGAAAAGGTTTGCATTTCAGATTTCAACCAGCTCAAGTAGCCATTGGTTAACCAATTTATTGAAGTAGAAAAAAACACTTCTGTTTTTCTTTCTCATTCCTTAACCTTCAATAGACCCCCTCCCCTTCACTCTTTGGTCTAAGTGCTTTGCACACAGGTTGGCAAAGTTTAGGTTTCAGTAATTATTTTATTTTATTACCTCCTTCCCTTCCCTCAAACTACCCAGAGCCAAAATTTACTCAGAGTTAAAAAGAAATTATTTTTAACAGGCCTTGTCTGAATGTTATATTATATATTTTTTTAGGGTTGAAAAGTGCATCATCCAACCATAGCAGGATTGTAATATTATAAGCAAAATTATACATGACATACAATGAAATACAATTCAGAAACAGTTTGTGCTGTATAGTGATATGTCTCGGAAAAGGATATATTTGTTCGAAGTAGCAAAGTGGTTGTTGACTACTGTAACCGGGTAGGACAATCTAGCAGGTAATGGACTGGTCCTCGTTATAGTGGTAGGCAATAGGCGTTGTTCATATCAGTTTGTATTTATGGCTGACACCAGCCAATCATATTACTGTGAGGGGGAACCCAGGTGTATGCATATTCATTACATCATATAGGCATAGAAAAAATGATAAATTGATTATACATTTCATCATGTCAGGTAATATACGATAAGTAACATTGAAGGTATAGATCAGTCAGTCAGTTATGTGCCATGCATGATACACACTTAGGCGATTCATGTATCTTTCAATACATGACTGACGAGGCAGATTTTTTCCTGCAGTAGGTTGCCATTTCTTTCTGCAGTAAACCTGTTGCCATCCAAGGCTATAGAAGTCAGTCTTATTCGATAAGAGTCTTTCTTTGATATCTTAATAATACATTTCAAAGAAATTATCGTATTACTCAAAGAACATATGTGTATTTACTTTTGGTAAGCACAAAAATAAAGAAATTCTTAGTGGCATTAAATAACCATTGGTATGGTTCTTATACATCTTGACAAATATTTTTTTTAATCATTTCACCTCAAGCAAGGCAACAAAGCCACTGACATGCAGGGTGGGGGTTACTAAGTGTAGAAAAATATAAGAAAAAGAAAACACTATCAAGGAAAGAGAAGAATAGAAAAACAAGAATTAAGAAGACAGAAGTAATGATTGACATTACATTTAACTTTTCACCGGAAATCAAGAAGCTGGAAGAGTGTTTCACCAGTGAGAAGTGCAAGAAAAGTGACTGTTAGCTTAGAACTTATGGTTACATCTAGGCATTTCAAATGTGAAATGAACAGATCTTGCAACCAATCTAGTACTGCTCTTAAAATTATAGAGTGTAGGTACCATAGAGGAGAGTTCATCAGAACAATTACCATGAAAGTGTAGCGATTTAGATGGAACATTCCACCTAGTAAGTAGCTATGGTGAGGTGAGATGGTCACCTACCATTTATGAATATCTTTGTTCCCCATGGTGTGAGTCTGGACATTGGTTGAAACACATGTTGCTTTAACCTCTTCTCTGGACCTGACTGGCATCTAAAGCCTTAATCCATCTCAGTTGTCCCTACTGTGCCAAGGTCATTAACTCACCTCACTTATCTGCTTGCCAGGTGGAGTGTTCTATCTAAAATCCTCCAAAAGTATTTACAGAAAAACCATAGGCAAGCTACATTATGGTGGTGGGAAAGGGACTGAATCTGAGATGACAGGTCAGGACTAATAACACTGCTGATTATTCTTTGGATTTTCTCAAAGATCTCTAAATATTACACAGAAGAAACCAGACCTGATATAGCAACAATAGATTTATAAATATGTAAGATAAATTTGGGTGAGAAAAATTGTCTAGCACAACTCAGAGAATCAACTTTCCTAGCAGCAGACTGAACAATTGATTCAATAAGTAAACTAATTTAAGGTTATAGACATAGAAAGGAACCATATCTAAGCTCAACTGTTTTTTTAACCTTGAGAACTAAAACTAAGAAAAATGTTTAAATATAATATTCTATCAAAGAAAATTATTATACTCTGGTGACAAAGTATTTAAAGGAGACAATAGAAGAATATTTTAAATTAAAAAACAACATTTATTAATAACTTAAGGGATATATTATTTATAAACAAGCTATGAATGTCGTAAACTGGATGTGAAAATGAAGGTTAATACTTTCATGACTCTTTTCCTCTTTGTGCCTTCAGGACATAGGTGATCATGGCTCTCTTTAAATTTGTCTCCTTTGTAACTTTAAATAAGGCTTGTCTTTTTGCTATCTCTCCTAATTTCTGCTCAGCAAACCATTTACACAAGTTTGTTATGTAGGTTATTTGCTGCTTTCCTCTGCCCCTCTTGCCTTTAATATGTCTTGTGAGTATCAAATTCTCCAAGCCTGCTTTTTTTCATTATGTGTTCTAAATATTTGAACTCTTTTTGATGTTAAGTCTGTTGCAGGTGGTATACTGTCCCACAAACAGATATTGAATAACAGAAGACAACAACAAAGAAAACAAAGACTTGAGTAAAAAAATATATTGCCAAGTTTATTTTTGTTAAAGAAAATACATTGACAAAAATAAAGTGAGGAGGCACGAGGCAAAAATAAAAAAATATCTCTGCATGTTTGTATAGAGGGCGATAAGAACGTTGAACAGTATTGTCATGTAAAGAATAGTTTTGTAGTCATTGAGAATTGTTGTCCTGAGAAGGACAGTTTATCACATATCATTGCTGTTGAGGAGGACAGCTTGTTGGCTGGCTGGCTGGAGCATTGGCCAATGGTAAGCTGGGGCTACAGTTGATGATGATGATGATGATGGATGGCTGAAACTGCTGCTGCTGATGGCTGGAGCTGTGGGCTGGTTGTCTGCTACTGGAACAAATACTACACTTTGATCCTAGGAATTGTATACATGGATAGTCTTTATTTAACATGAAAATACATGGTTGTTGTACATGGCTGTAGGAGAGGTGAGGAAAGGCTGGTCATCACCAACTATCTTAAACCTAGCTAATCTAATTCACAACACTTTCATTCTTACAATGATAGTCATTTTTGTCAGTTTTTGAGGCCTTTATATACTGAATCAGTCATTGATCCTGGAAGGTGAAGTTTCTTTTTCCAGTTGTTTTTTTTTTTAAATGTGGGAGTGCCAACAGGATATGACAAGTTGCTCACATGTTCAGTTCATGGTATTCTCAGTATCCTTCTGTAGAACCACATTTATGTTGCTCAAGTTTATTCCTCATCTGTAAGAGAATTGTTCAGCATTTGCTGCCATATAGGAGGAACAATATTACATAACAGTTTAGATATAATATAAAGAAAGAAGAACATGTATTTTTGAAGTTGACACATAGCTTCTTCCAACTGAAAAATAAGATAAATAAATTCAACCAACAAAAAGTTCTCCTGGCTAAAATCATAAACTTTCTAGAGCCTATAATTTATAAGGAAGCAGAAAATTTTGTCATGTTCAGAGTTCTTTTTCAACAGTAACACAGATCACATCAGTTTTCTCTCCAAATTTTGACACCCGTTCTGATACCATGCAAATTATTTCTCTGTCTTTTTCAGTATCACTTAAATTTGGAAATATTAACATCTATTGTTATTTTCTTGTAAGTGAACTCATTTTACAAAATGATTTATCATTTGAACTTTAAAATGTTTCACAAATATTCTATGTCATTGCTTAAATGTGAACCATGGTGTTCTTTACTCAAAGCCATGTCATAGTGTAACTCTCATCCAGAACTGGGGGCTTCTCTCAAATCTTTTCATTCCACTGAAAGTGAAGATTTTTAATTTCATTTTGGGTTTGTGGTAAGTCACTGCTGAAGTTGACTTAAGAAATGTTTGCTTTTGACATCTGGAATGAATTTAGTTTATTTAATTGAAATAAGTATACATTTTATCTATTTTATTTCTTACAGATTTTCTATATTATTTTATGTTTTCATTGCAAAAACAAACTTTATTTGTGCTAAATTCACTAAAAAATGTGGCAATGTTGGACCTTCAAAAGAATGCCTTTCCTTTGACACTGCTATTATTCTAACTATTTTCACTCCTTGGCAATATTTATTATTTTAAAAGATGATGATTAGAACTGTAATAAGACCTAAGAATATGAAAGTGAATTTATACATTTTATTTGTTTTTGAGAATTGACATAAAAAAATAATAAACACTATTTATTTATTAGAATGTTTATTTACACTATAATGTTGGCTAATTCCCAATTATTTCAAACTTTATAAAATGGTAAATAATAAGGATTTGGGTCACATATTTTAATAATTTAGTAAATGTTTATAAATTTATGAATAAAAAAATTGTTTTCATATTTATCAATTGCTGTTATGTCTGCAGTGCATGTGGTGCACCTAGATTCTAACAGATGACAGGCATGATATTCTATACTACAGGCCTACTCATGGTGCAACTGAGGGCCAGAACTAGAACCTTATCAATTTTATAGTATTACATTTACTTCTATTTTATATAGGCAAATACAGGGTGATTGAAAAGTAACTCCCTATTTTATGTGTGTGTAGTCAGCCAGGAGTTCTGACTTAACTCCCTGTGACTTTTTTCTTTGGGGTTACTTAAAGGAGCAAACCAAACCAAGACTTTGGAAGAACTTATGAAGTTATGTCTTCCATACCACAAGAGTTCCTGGTGAAATCAGTTGATGTAATTCCTGAGCAGCTCAAGAAGCTGGTAGCAAAATGGGGTGCCCATATCGAATTTTAAATAAAACCTCATGCTAAATGCTTTCTTCTCATATCCATTTCTTGTAAAAATTATAGTTAATAAATAAATTAGATGTATTTTAAAATGGGGAGTTACTTTTCAATCACCTTGTATATACACTGCGTGCCAAATTATTATTGAGATAACATTTTTCTAATATTTCAAAAACCGTCCAATCAATTCACACAAAATTTTCACACATTGTTGGGAACACAGACCTGTGCAATCACTGAAATTTTCGTACTGATCTGCACAATGTAAACAAACTGGCGGCGTATTTGTTATCAGCACGGTGATTTGAGAGTGCCAAATTATTAGAAAGGTTTAGTAAAATTCCCAGAATTGAATATGAATAACAATATAATGGAGAAAAATATTAAATTAACTTAATGTGAGAAATAATAACTTTTCAAAATAGATTTTACATTGGGAAAACAGAATCGAGGAAGAGTCATCAGAAGAGAACTGTTAAAAATTAAGCATAAAACATTAAAATGAACATTCTTGTAACATTTGTTTTTTGTTTTTTTAATCATGTTACTCCTAAGAAGGCAGAAATATCACTAGCACAGGGAGGATTCAGGAAAAGACAAAAGATAAACAGGACAGAAGCTGGTGATTGATGTTGTATTGAAATTTTTGAAGATTGTAGTTATCAGGGAAATAAGTAAATGGAAGGACGTTCCGCAGGTAGGAAGTGCAAGAAGAGAAATTGTTGGAGTGGAAGTGGTGGTTGCATTTAGCAATTATCAACAGTAAATACGTGGGTCCTAGATGCCAATCTAGTTGCACTGTAGGAATATTATTATTATTATAAATAAATAAAAATAAAATAATAATAATAATAACGAAAATAAAATAAAACAATAACATAAAAATGTTATATAAAATAAATAAAAATTAAAAATAATAAAAATACTCCCAGCATGCAACACAAACTGTTCCTGCAGGAAATACGGACATTGCACCAAAAGACATTAAATTCAATCTCTTCGGCATGAACCTTGGTATGGGCAAGACGTGTCCAACTTCTATCTGTGATATGGAGTAAATTCTCCTTTTTATCACATGTACTATAAAACAAGTGTAACCCAAAAAAATAGACACACCAATAGAGACAAAAAATATAAATAAATTGTATGAAATTAACATGCAATTTATCATGCTTTTGCTGTTATTTCTGTATGTTTTATTTCCTGTCAAGTATGCTTTTATCTCCATGAACACAAAGATAATTTCTACTGCTATAATGTGAGTGAACCCACATAGCAAACTTAAATTCATGCAGTTGGGACACCAGAGAAAAAAGCTCATCAGAACTGTTGCCCTAAAAATATTTGTAGAAACGACAGAAGGAAGCCATGTCATGTTAGTGAGAAAGTGACTGAAATCAAGTATGTCTGGAAAAAATCAGATAAATAAATCATTTCTGTAAATCAAGTAAAATTACACATTTTTGGTTAGAGTATATAACACTAAGTAAATAATTATAAATCCCCAATATTTATAAATACAAAAATAGTTGTGTTATAATCTTCCTAAACCAGATCTTCTTCTGATTTATATTACCCAAATTTCCACCATTGGCTGGATGTGAACGCTCCGAAACCCAAGACCGAACTAAAAATTCCATCAAACACGCATTGGCTATGCACACACCTCCTGCTTTCCTCAGACAACCCCAAAAAATATACAATTCAATTTTTTACCCAATAGCACCCACTCCCGCCTAAAGAAGTGAAATAAGAATTGGAGCCAATCTGAGCCTATGAAAGGACTTAAAAGCCCATCAAAGAGACATCTTTGGCAGTCAGTTGGCACAACAGCCAGGGTTCACACGCTTGTCAAAATGCCATCTCTACACCCAAAGACAACTGGCCTTCCATCTCCAAGGACAACTTGCCAAAGCCCGTCGGTGCAGTAAGTCACAACTCACTCTCCCTCTACTACTGTAAGCCACTGTGGATGGATTTACTTATCTCTCTCTTTCAATGCAAGACTTTCACACCACTTCACCATTCATTGTATTTTTTGTTAATACAATTATTTATTTCTTAAACCTCTGTCATTTCTTGTTTCTGCTACCATACGCTTAATATAACAGTTGTAAAAATGAGAAAAGCAAGACGGAAACAACAAAACAAATATTATTCATTATCTTGTTGCTATGTGGTGTTGGAGAAATGAGAGAGAGTAATACTGAGTAAAACTGTGAATTTGGAGTCAAATGTAGATCAAATATGGATCGTAATCCGACAGAATGAAAAAACAAAGTTTTCATTGGTCAAAAAACAATTTCACATAGGCTCATAAATTTATTTATGTCTTTTTCTGCAGTCATCTGAATTTGAAGGTAGTAGGTAAAGGGAGTCATCATTATTTTGCATACAAGGGCACAAAAATCTGTTTGAAATGCGATAAAAACTAGATCTATTTGGAAAAGATGTTAGAATAATACAGAACTTATATCAGCAGCAAACTGCCTGCATATAGTTGGTAAAAATTTGGGTAAGTACACAAAATAGATAGAGGCATAAAACAAGGATATGTCTTCTCACTGAATATCTTGAATAAATCATTCAACCTTTACAGTAAGGCTATCCTAAAGAATCTGGAGTCTCCACCAGATGTTATTATTGGTGAGTGTAATCTTAACAATATAAGATACACAAATCACATTGTGTTGATGGTAGGCACAGAAGGAAAACTACAGGATCTGCTTAACAAATTAGTAAAGGAAAGGGTGAAGTAAGGACTACCCATCAATTGTAAGAAGACAGAAGAATTGTCAGCAAAATGTGAGCTATGAATTGGAGATGTTAAAATCATGCAAGTACAGAAGTTTTAATATTTGGAATGAATTTTAACAGATGATGGAAAATGTGACAGCAAAATCTAAAGGTACATTGGAATAGCAAAAGGTGCCTTTCAAATGCTAAGCAAAGTATTAAAGAACAGGAAATTTCTGTAAGAAACAAAGAAAAGAGTGCTGAATTGCTGTGTGCTATATGTCAGTGAATGCTGGACTAATTGCTCACAGATGAAGAGAAAACTTGAGGCAACAGGAATGTGGTTCTACAGGAGGATACTGAGAATTCCATGGACAGAGAGTGTAAGCAATGAGGAAGTTTTATGGACAATGGAAATGAAAAGGGCATTTAGATTCAAAGAGAGACAGCTGGAATTTTTTGTGGAAAGAAGGCTTGGAAAATTTGACACTCACAGGACATATTGAAGACAAAAGGAACACGGAGGCGGGAGGCCACAGTGCCACCTAGCTGAAGAACTTGTGCGAATGGATGATGACACAGGGATGGGAAGGCTGCTAAAAAGATAAACCTTACTAAAAGCTACAAAGGATCAACCACGTCCTGAAAGGACACAGCATAAATAATAATAATAATAATAATAATAATAACAACAATTATTATTATTATTTATTTATTTATTTATTTTATCAGCCATGAAGCTATCTTTCTGGCGCCTGTTTATTTAAACTTTAAAACTAAAAGTAAAACGCATTATTTTTCCGTATTATATGACCATTTTGTTTTAAAATTTGTATTTTCTTGAATAAATGAAATTTTCCAACATAAATCGGCAAAATCTTTATCATTATATTACTACGTTATTCAGTATATTTCGTGTGAATTTTTTTTTTTAGGTATTTTTTCTTTTAGTGTTTTTTTTTTTTTTTTGTCAACGAATTCCGGAAAATCCCGAACATTTACGAAAAATTAAACGGAAGTTGTTGCTTCAAATCTTATCCACTTCCGGAATTATCATCGGCGGCGGTAGAATTCGTTCCTATATTTAATATTTTGTATTTATTACTTTGCTGTCAACAGTGTGTTAAAAAAAACCCCCTAAAATAACGGAAACCTCTGCTTAAATTCAGTGTGATCTTAACTTACGCATTTGTCAGGTAAAATAATTTTTATTATATTTTTCATCTTTTTAGTTTGAAGCTGAACTTTTTTTCTTGTTTTTGTCATAACGTTTATTTTTTTTATGTTAAAATATGTCCATCTGTTTTCTTGATTATGTTCTCATTCATGTATATTTTAAGATTCTTGTGAATGGTTATTTTTTCCTCCAAGAAATAATGCTTCCGTTAAGCTTTTCCATCGCCCCTCCCCTACCAAAAAAAAAAAAAAAAAAACCAACTAGAAAAGATAGTCAAAAATTCTAAAACTTTTTTTTTACGAATTATTCCTCTTAGTAAAATCCTGGTTTAATCAATATGCAACTTTTTAAAATTAAATCATAAATAATTTGATACTAATGTTCTGATCACGACACACATTTCGTAATAAATTTAATTTAAAACAACATAGACGAGGTAAAAAACAAACTTTAGTGTTTATTTACACTATAAATATAATTATTGATTTACCTTAATTAACACTAACAGTTAAAAATGAAAACACAAAGTTCCGATTACTAAACGTATGTACGTTTTTTTTTTGTTTTTTTTTTTTTTACTTAAGTTTACTAATGACTTTTCCTAAACTTTATCATATGTCTCTTCTTGTAATGAAAAGATGCTTTTGGTAAAATACTGGTTTATTCACACGACATCGCAAGTATGAAGCGAATATGAGTTAGCGTATGTTACGCCAATCTTACACGCAAGAAGGAAGGGCCTTGAGTTTCTTGTCTTGAAAATCAGGTATTTTTCGAAATTTTGATCATTTTTTTTTTCACCTGGACTTTAAAACTGACCCTTTAGCGCTGGTAAAAATAAAGAATTAATTCTCAGATCGACATCAGAACCCTTGGTCTAGATGAAGTAAAAATACGACTACATACACACATAAAGTCTGTAGTAAAAAGTGTTGTTATAAATAAATAATAAATACAATCTGTTTTTAAAGGGATATTATTAAATATTGATTTTATCACTAGTAAAATTTTACTGTCTGTTGAAGTGCATGTCATTTTGAAAATAAAAGAAAACTTAAAAATTGAAAACCGTTGTGGTCTGAAGAACTGAAACCAGAGAGAACGCAACTTGGAAATACCGTATGAGATTTTCTTGTCAGAAAAAAAAAAGACTTGTATCTCCATCTTGGTTGTTATTCTAGGTTATTTTAGGTTTTCCTTGGATATCTGTTTGTATGTTGTATGTTGATAATTATAAGGGAATGTGGAATGTTTTACTTTTTTTTATTCATTCTCTTCCAGGACTTAAGTGATCCAGTTAAAAGGCAAATATATATATACAAACTAACAAACACTATGTGATCTATCAGAAAAGATCTGTCATTTTTAGAAGCAAAAATGAAGAATTCCATAAAAAATTATGAGATGACCACTTTATGCGACGTACCATTGTTGCAATACTTGCTCCTAATTGGATTACGAGTGGCAAATAAAATTCACATATGTGAATGATGGGGTGTCATTGTTAGTAGATGTGAAAGGAAATAAATAAATTTCAACAAGGTGATATTTTCTTGTGATTTTATATAATAATTGACTGATTAACAAAGAGAAAATACATTAGCATGCATGTAAATATAACTGAAAAGAAATAAGACATTAAAAGTTAGCAATTAGGAATTGTGTGTGTATGTGTGTGAAAGAATTCAGATACCACAAGCTGGGAACAAGTCTCATGCTCGCAGGAAAAAGGTAAAAAGAAAGAAACAGGGAGGGTCCTATTTTTATAGCTATTTAACAGCAACACCTAACCTTGCAAAGTCAAGTGGGGTATAACCCACATCCTTAAGGAAGGCCTTGAGGGTACGTTATGAAATATTAATATAACAAAAACCCAAGAGAAAGATGCAGATCTGAAGGAATTACTATGCTAAAAAAGCCTGTATTTAAATCAAAGGATTTATCACATAACCTTAACAATGTAAATGGATTTAAAAAATGATTAATTAACACTGACAGATAAAGGGACTAAATATACATGGTTCTCAATAAGATTGTTGCTCTACCAAGGCTAATGATTTCAGTCTGCTTTGCTACTTTACTCATAGTTGGTTTTGTAAGGAGATGAGTTCATGACTTTCCTTAAAAGGCAATGGTGTGAAGCAAATGCAACAGTCATGGCCAACCTGTTCCATTTTCTGCACTGATAATCATTACAACTGCACATCCTTTTTATGTAGTATTTACATTTTTATTCCAATTGAAGTTGAGAAAAATTACTCCTATAGTGTATGCCTTTTTCTTTTTTTTGTCCTTAATTCCTTTTCTCAGCCATATCCTGAAAGATCCCTTCCTGTCTCACATCAGCATGGCTGATGCTAACCTCCATGAAAGTGACTTGTTGTGCCTTCTTGGCTGACATGAAGTGGAAATATTATATTTCATCCATTGGTAAATCTGCTGCTAAAAAAATTAGTTTACTGTGTCATGTTAGACAATTGTTCTCTCTTGGATCTATCTTATATATTTCTAAGTGTACCATTTATCCATGCCTTGAATACTGCTGCTACATATAGTCCAGTGCTCCTGTTGTATATTTAGAGATTGTTGGTAAAATCCAAAGAATCATCAACATTATTGGTCTTGATCTGGCATCTTGGTTTCAGTTACTTTCCCACTGAATTAATGTGGCTTCCCAGTACCTTTTCTATAATTACTTTCAAGATAATTGCTCTGAATAACTTTTCACTATGGTACCTAGACTTTATGAATTTAAGCGCAGTACTAGATTGGTGGTTGAATTGTCTAGATGTGACTATATGTTCGATGCTGATAGTTTGTTTTCTTGCTTTGGAACTCTCTTCTGAATCCATGCTTTCCAGCCAACTTTGATCTTCAAAAATTTGAATGCAATGTCAATCATTCTCTTCTGTCTTCTTGATTCCTCTTTTATTGTTCTTGTTCCTTATTAAAGTTCTTGTGTCTTAGTGGCTCTACAGCCTGCCATGGGGTGATATTAAAAAAAAAAAAAAACACTAATATTCCTAGAAGTTATCCTCTGAAGGTTGTCTTGAGCAGAAAACATCTTGAAGAACAAATTGTTGATAACAAAGAATAAAACATAGTGATTTGATGTTGTATTCCTGCTACATTGTGGAGATGAAATAGAAGAATCACTAATGCATGTTGTGTTTGATGATCTAAAAAGCTATTTCTTAGATCATGAAATGCATCTGAAGAAGGTCAGAAATATTGGCTGAAACAAGAAAGATGAAGATACTTGCCAAATTAACATGGAATATACAAATATTTTTTTTTCAGCTGTACTTAAATTTAACTAAATCCAAAGCACTTCTACTACTGATGTCTGTGTTGCTCAAGCAACTAGGGAAAAAAAAAACAAAAAATTAAGTAAAAAGATTTACTAAATATGTTATTTGATACTGTATTCGAGAATTCTACCAATTCAGTTTTATTGAAATCTCTTTTTCTGTTTTTGGATACAAGCATAAAATATTTTAAGTGGCCATTTAAGAAACTTGTGTACGAATAATTTAATTGGTTATGACCATTTAAGAAACTTGTGTATGAATTCTTGCACAAAGGTTAAGCAATTCTTTTACTGGTCAAATTATTAAGTGGTTTGTCTTGTATTGATTTGCAATTTATTTCATGAATTTCTTTTTTCATTTTTATAAAATGTCTCCCCCACTTTTAAATAATTTGTACTCCTGAATCTCTAGTGTTGCAGCTCTGACCAAACACCAGGTTCTTTCTCAGGATGCAGCTTCTTCCAGTCAAATGCTTATGGCTTACAAAATAACCTTTTGGCCAGGTTGTTTACCCATGAATTAAAACCACCAGAATCAACTTTGTAGCAGTAAGCAGATTTTATTCTCAAGTTGTAACCTACTGCTATAGATGAGCAAAGTCAGGATGAATTGTAGGTGAGGGGTGGGGGTGAACAGTCTAATGGGCATCTACCCTTTCACGTCAGTGCAAGACAATCTTCTCGTCACTCTGCAACACTATAGAGAACATTTTTCTTTGTCTTGTCATTGTCTAAAACAGTAATTTATCTTCATCCAGTGTCTTTCTTTGTCTGAATCACCTGCAATGTACTTGTGAAGTCCATTAAGTGAAGCTGATAATCATTGGGAAAATAAGTGTCCAAAACCATTTTTGTAATAGGTCAGCTGTTTTCTATTTAACAAGATATCAGCTGACACTGATATCACTACACATTATATTCTGAACACTAAATTCTTTCCTTTATTTTTTTCTTATTCTTGTAACATTTCTATTTATGATTTTTTACATTGCTAATTATTTATTTATTTATTTATTTTTTTTGTAGTGTGAAATCCTGCCTTTTCTTTTGGTAATTGTTTGCTGAGAAGAAAGTGAGGGTCAAACATGGCCCCTACTGTACAGACAGGGTCTCGTGAGGAACGGGATCGAAAAAACCGGAATGTTGTTGAGAAGCGCTCTGAGTTGGTATGCCGGGTGAAATATAACAATACTCTGCCTGACATTCCATTTGATCCCAAATTCATTACATATCCATTTGAATCAAACCGCTTCATTCAGTACAAGCCAACTTCGTTGGAACGTACTTACAAATATGACATGCTTACTGAACATGATCTAGGGGTTACCATCGATCTTATTAACCCTGACACATACAAAACAAATTTGAACCCCTATGCCGACTCTGAAGATGAAAGACTGCTTGAAGAAGAGATGAATACACTCCATGATTCACGTCGATCCCGTCATCATAACACATCAGTTTCTTGGCTGAGGAAGACAGAATATATTTCTACTGAGTACAATCGATTCACACAAAAGGCTGACAAGCATGAGACAAAGGTTGGCTTCAAATTAAAACAGATAATGAAAGACGAAGATTTATATAAGGACCGTGACAGTCAAATTAAGGCAATTGAAAAGACATTTCATAATGCTACTGTACCTATCACCAAGCATTATAGCAAACCAGGAGTTACTCCAGTTGAAGTTTTACCAGTCTTTCCAGATTTTGACCTTTGGAAGCATCCATTTGCCCAGGTAAAAATATTCTTTTTTTCTTTTCCTTTTTTTTTTTTTTTTCCTTTTTCAATTTTTTTCTTCTTTTTGTCATTGTTTTTTTTTTTTTTTTCTTTTGTCTCTACTTTGGCCATTTCTTTTGTCTTTTTCTCTTTCCTTCTAATGCAAATCTATTGGAAATTTCTCCTTAACTAAAATAGAGATAATATAAGGGAAAATGAGTCTTTAAATTATAAATGGACATGTTCATCAATGAGAGAACCAAAAATAGTGCTACAGTTGCTGAAATATTAAGAACCTTACAAATAGAAATCAATGGTATTGGCAAGACAACTTTGATTTCCAGTAGGAATTCTATAACTTCAATCCTCACACAAACAAAATATCATAATTGGTTCATTTGTGAACAATTTGTTGTAAAAATGTACTGTCAGGAATATCCAGTATAGAACACATTTTGACCAAACATTTTGATTTAGTCACTTTTTATTTTATACTCATGTTTATATAATCTAATTTTTGAGAGAATAAACAAAAGTATCTATATTATTTATAATAGAATGACCAACAATCCATTTTATAACAAAATAATCTACAATACATTTTATCTGAAATTGAAGTCATAAGATTGTGTTCAAAATATTTAGATTTCAGTATTAAATAACCCGTAGAGGTTGATGCTGCTAAACAAAATCAACCAACATCAAAGAACTCTTTCATGACATTAATCTATATAATAGGCTACAATTTCTTAAAGAAATCAAACTGTATTCCAAAATATAACTTCAACAAAACTAAAAACATAAAATACACATATCACCACCTCTAGTATTTATGTCCACACAAAAGCTGAGTATTATCTACCATGTATTCAATTGTGAAAGCAGAATAACATATCATATTTTTATTACTTCAAAGCTCTCAAGGAAATTAAATTTCAACATTAAATGATCCATAAGGATTTGATATGCTGTTAAACAAATCAAAATCCTTTCACTCATTTTTTTCAACAACAGTATAAAACTTCCTCTACTGCTTGATAATTAATGATTTGTTTCGTCTGCATCTGAAGAAAGTGAAAGGTTTGACAGGGTTAAGTACAAATGTTAGCTTCACTGATTACTCCAATGACACTTTGCAGTCATCTTGGGAATTGTTCACATCTTCTACCATATATACTTGTATACAAGCCTACCTTTTATATAGTGCAACCCCTGAATTTTTCTTTTTGTGAAAAAACCTGATTTTTTTCATATAGTTAGTGTATAATGTAACCCCAATCTACTGTATTACTGCATACTATAAATAAAGCTACTAGAATTAAAATTCATTTGATACTCATCATTTGCTGTATATTGTGGTGCATATTGTCAAAAATATTTTAAGAATATATAATGGAGAATTATAAGAAAAAATAATACCATTAAATGTAAAGAACATAATAAAAATAAATTTTTCTTGCTCCCTGGTCAAATTTGATCTTCAAAAATTTAAATATCAATTGTTATATTCTGCCTTCTGAATTCTTGTTCTTTTATTGTCCTCTCTCCTTAATAGTAGTTTTTTTCCTATTCTCCAACACTCAGTAACCCCTTTTGTCTTTATTGCCTTACTTGGGACAAAATAATCAAAAAAAAAAAAAAAAAATAAATAGAGGAAGACAGAATAAGGAACACAAATGATATATATGATAGATATGTAATCGATAAAAAGAGTACCATTGAAAAAGCAATACCTCTGTGAGGTAAATACATGCAAATGAAGATTAATGTATATTGGAGAAAGGAATAAAAAACATTGTTACTTCTTCATATGTAAGGTATTTGTAGATTTTATATAGTGAATGATGTTCTGCTGTTCATGTAGTAACAGAAAGAAAGAATCTAGGCTACAGGAAGCAGACGGCTAAAGAAGCTTACCTGTACCTCTAAGCCAAAGGTACTGTTAGAATGTAGGCCTGCCAGGTGGGTTATGGTCACTGAAAATGCATTAATTTTAACCCCTTTAGAAAAGATTTACCTGTGTATATTGTAACTGGTCTCTGAAAATGCATGATTTTTAACCTCTTCAATACAATGTATAGTATGACCCCGAGATTTTGCCTAAAACCTGATCATAAAAAATCACACTATACTCGAGTATATATGTTGTCTCTTCTTGAATTCAAAATGCCATAAGTTATATTATTGTTTTTTAACAAATCAAACGCATGTGAAGCCTGATTAACAAATGAAAATCAAATAATGAAAAAATAAAAATACTAGAACTTCCTTCTTTTTTTTCTCCATATCTCATTATCTGATGAAACTTTACTAAAAGTGAAACATGTTAGATTGATAAATGTTTCCTATTTATTTTTTATTCTATCATATTTGAGTATATATGGTATATCATGTTGATAAAGTTTTCGTCAGGATTTCATCATTTTCTCCTGGGTTTAATTTTTTCTTTTTATAATTTTGTTTAGAAAAGTTAGATCTTATGTTTAATTTTTTTCTTTTTTTTAATTCTGTCTCTATTCATATACAGCTTTTCTGGAAAAAGCTTTTTTTAATATGATTTAAGAGAAATGATAGATATTTGTTGTCAAAATTGTTTTTGTAATTTGCCAGAAGTTTTGCATTTATCCTTACTGTTTTCAGACCATTATGTTCATCTTGGATATTGCATTCTCTGGCCTTCTGTTGTTCAAGACATGTGTCCTATTGGGTTAAACTCTTGGTTAAAACATATCTGTAGTTGTAAGTTCAATCCCTGGGTTTGTTATTGAGAGACAAAAAAAAACCAAATAAGCAGCAGAAAGATGAGTACGCATTAACTGATAAACATGGAAAGTTGAGGAAGGAGAACAATCTACTGTTGGAAATAGATCAACAGCTGAAACATTGTGAATATAGTGACCGAGATAAACAAACTGATCTGAATAGTAAGACATATGACATGTTCAGCTTTTATATAAGATAGACTTTTGTACAAATAAATATGGTCATTTAAGATGGTCTTTTTTTTTAACATGCATCTTTGCAACAAGATGTTTTGCAAATTTTAAAAGAGCTTCTGGACTATGAATATTTTTGATAAATATATGTATAAATGAAATTTTAAAAAGTTATTCAAGTTTCTTATTGGCTGAATATGGTTGGCAGTACAGGGAATGCTAGGGATAGGGAAAAGACAAACATAGCTAAGACCTACAAAGGATAGGACGTTGTGGAGAGCCATGATCAATCTACCTAATAAATTTGTGTAAATGGATGGCAGTAGAGAGAATGGGAGTGATAGTGAAAAGACAAACATTGCTAAGAGCTACAAATAATAGGAAGTTGTGGGGAGCCATGATTGACATAGACCATTAACTGAATGTGTATCCATTATTTGTAGCATCTGTATTCATCCATCAGCTCTCCTATAAAGTTAAACAATGTTGAGCTTGGTCAGTACCGAGAATGGTTACAGTTTAGGAATACTAGTTCCTGTAAGCTTGGATTTTCAGTTGGTGTAATGGATAATGTCTCCAAATAATAAATCTGATAGCATATTTTGAATTCCAGTTTGGTTCATTATATTTACTTACTTGCAAATATTCGTGGGAAAGGTATGAATCCACTTCTTCTCCCCCTAGCTATGGGTTACATAGTAGGACTTGTATCAGAAAATCCTCATTATCTCCCAAAAACTTTTACAATCCATAAAAATCCATAAATAATCTGAAAAAGGTTGATAAACCATAAAAAAACAAATTAATTTATATTCATCTTATCCTCACACTAAATCTATTTGTTTTCTGTATTGGTTAAGTTATTATTTGTAAGTAAGAACAATAGGTAGAAGAAAAATTTTAAATCCTAACCTTTTGATAGGATTTAATTTCTACTGTGATTAAATTGGGTCTTACATATTTTAATTATATTCTGAAAAGTTTCTTAAAATTCCTCTTGGCATAAAACTCTTCCTCAAGAAATTGTGTAAATAATTGCAATATCTCGTTTCAGAAATATTTACTATGCATATGAATTTCTAGATTTTTATTACCATAATTTCTTGAGAATAATACACATTTTTTACAGTAAATTACAGGTGATAGTAGGGGTGCATGGTATTATAAATACGTTTAAACAAAAATATGTTTTTCGTTATTGATTTATAATAATAAATATGTACTTGCTGTTTTAAAATAAGAAAGATATTATTCCAATTTTCATTTTATACAATAATAATTGTAACATTTTTGTCAATAAATTTATGTTTATCAGTAACTGCATTTTTTATTTGGCAAAAAATTTTTAAAAAATCATAGAAATCAGGCCAATTTCGAAGAACTTACGGAACATCCACTTGATCATCTTTCTTTTACAAATTCAACTAAACTTTGTTCCATATCTGGATATTGAGCTTTTCTTCTATATCTATAGCTTTGGCACTTGATTTACACTTTTTTTACTTCATTTTTATTCTTTCTCCATAAATGTATGTTAGCCTCATCCAACTAATATTCTCTAACTGCAACTCTGTTTTCTATTCTTTCTGTTAATTCTATTATTTTTCGGTTAAAATCTGCACCATAACTTGCACATTTTGATGACATTTTGTCAGTAAAATAAAATGTTGTATTTATTGAAAAAACCGCATGGTAATTTTTAACATTATTTTAGCCACTTTGTTTCGATTTTATTCTCAATGTCAAGGTCGACAAAATGTCTTTGTAATTATTTTATTTTATTTTTTATTTATTTATTTTTTTGACAAAATTTATAGATGCGTATTATACATAGGGATAGATATATTTCTTAATTTTTGAATCATTAATTTGGGTGCATATTTTTTCGAGAAATTGCAATATCTCCTAAAACTTATACAGATTCTTTTTCTTATAAAATATACAAATAAGTAACTGATTTATGTTCCATTTCTATCTTTGATGCATACTTCTGGACATTTTGCAAAAGTTCTCCATTAAAAAAATACAAACTTCAAAGGTTTATCCAATAATAACTGAAATCTTATTTCTTGTCTTGCTTGAATCTCTTTTAATTGTTCCTAAAAATTAATGGGAATTTTTTGCTTTTGTTTTAGGTCATCTTTGACTCTGACCCAGCTCCGAAAAATACAAACACTTCTGCCCAGGTGGAAGAAATGTCACAGGCTATGATCCGAGGTGCTGTGGACGAAAGTGGTGAGCAGTTTGTTGCCTACTTTCTGCCTACCGAAGAGACCCGTACCAAACGCAAACGAGATCAAGAAGATAATGTTCTCTACCAGCCAGATGACGTTTACGACTATGTGTTGGCACGTGAATACAATTGGAACGTCAAGAACAAACTCTCCAAAGGTTACGAAGAGACATACTTCTTTGTTTTCCGTGATGACGTTGTCTACTATAATGAATTAGAAACGCGTGTAAGACTGAGCAAACGTCGGAAACTTGGGGCCACCCAGGTGGCCAAGTCTCGGCTTATTGTCAAGCACAGAGATCTGTTTGACAAGGAGATAGCAGCTCAAGATGCTCGTTTGTTGATGTTGGAAGTGCCACAGGAGGAAGAAGAGGAGGAAGCAAAAGATGAATCCCTGGATATTTCAGGTAATCGTTCAGGTGATGAGGAGGCTAGTGGCAGCGAGAAAGAGCAAGAATCTGGCCGTGAAAACGAGGCAAGTGACAAGGACTCCAGTGCTAGCGACAATGAAAGTGTCAAGTCTGCTAGCAGCGATGCGAGTCGCAAGAGTCAGCAGAGCAATGCCAGCAGCACAAGCAGCCGAGGTAGTCGGCGGCGAAAGAAAAGTCAGAATACAAGTGGGAGTGAAGAAGAGAGGGGAAGCGGAAGTGAGAGTGAGGCCGAGAGTGATGCTGGTCAGGCCGAGAACAAAAAGGATGAAGAGGAAATCTTTGGGTCAAGCAGTGAGAGTGAAGCGGAGAATGATGGTAATGCTAACAAGGAGGATGAGGAGGAGATATTTGGTTCGGCCAGTGAAGCTGAAAGTGAATCTGCAAACAAGAAAGATGAGGAAGAAATCTTTGGGTCTGCAAGCAGTTCGGATGAAAGCAGTTAAGTTCCAGGGAAAGTTTAAAATTCAAAACACAGCAACATTTGCAGGAGTATTGGTTTTCTTTTTTTTTTTCTTATACATTTTTTTAAAACTCTATAACTCCCTTCCCCACTCACAATCATTTAAAAAAAAAATATTGTACACAACTGGAACAGTTCTGTCTAGAAGAAAACAAAATCTTGGCCTTTAGGCTGAGATTTCGTAAAAGAAAAGCTTTGAAATAAATGTCTTTTTACTTCATTTTATTCTTGTATTATTTTATTTTTTATTTCTTGAGATTCTAATGGCCACTTTTTTGCTTAATCCTATTTTTTTTTTATTCCTTAGTTTTTATTTTACACTTACAAATTCATTTATTCCCTTCCTCAGCAACGATTTAAAAAAATAGTTATGATTGTCGTGTGTCTTGTTTGGCTAATTGCAATCTATCGACAATGCACAAATTTTAACGTGTTACTAGATTGGTATCTAGATCCCACCCGTTTACTGTTGAAATAGCTAAATGCAACCACCATTTCTACTTTGACATTTTATTTTCTCGAACTTCTTGCTTGTCTGATAACTACAAGCTTTAAAAATTTAAATGCAACATGAATCATTATCTTCTGCCTCCTTGAATCCTGTTCATCTTTCGTCCTTTCCTCAATTGTCTTTTCTCTTACTTTCACTCCCCCATGCATATTAGGGGCATTTCTGCTTTGCTGGGCAGAAATGATTAAAAAAAAAAAAAAAAAATAATTCTTCAAGCCCCAATACTGCATTGCAGCTTATAGCCATATAGCATTGAAATACCATCTTTCCTACAATCACCAAATTTAAGCAACATCCAGCCTGGTCAGTGCCTAGATGGGTAACCACTTGGGAATACCAGGTGCTGTAAACTTGGATGTGCGGATGATGTAATGGATAATGACTTGGAATTGTTAATCGGATTTATTATATTGACTTATGCGCAAATATTCGTGGGAAAGGTATAAATATGCTTCTTCTCCCAGTTATTGGTTAATCCAGTGTTTCTCAACATTTTTAAGCAATGGTACACCTAGGAGCAAATGAAAATATCACAGCACACTAAGCAAAACTTTTAAAGAGCATAAATTTAAATGTTATGAAATAAAACAATAGATTTAAAAAAATATATACACACAAATATGAACTTAATTGTGCAGCTTAGTGCGAAACCTGTGCCTGGTGTTTTTTCATGATTTTTTTCAATATTTGGTCAGATGTGCAATAATAAACAGACCGTCATTTCTTCTTCAGTTGAGTGTAGTCTTTCTTGAGTGTAGTCTTTCTTGAGTGTAGTCTTTCTTGAGTGTAGTCTTTCTTGAGTGTAGTCTTTCTTGAGTGTAGTCTTTCTTGAGTGTAGTCTTTCTTGAGTGTAGTCTTTCTTGAGTGTAGTCTTTCTTGAGTGTAGTCTTTCTTGAGTGTAGTCTTTCTTGCTTCTTATTTTTGATGTTATTTAGGGTTGGGAAGCCTAATTCACATAAATAAGTAAAAATAAATCTGATAAAGCTGTTTTAGCTAACGTGGGATAAAAAGTTTAATACATATTCATTTATTCAAATACTAACACTATACCGTTACACACACACACACATGCACATATATGTATGCCATAACCATATTTTGCTGTACACTTAAGATCTTGTGACATACTAGTGTGCCGTGAAATGGCCGTTGAGAATCACTGGGTTAATTAGTAAGACTTGTATCAATAAATCATTATTATCTCCCCCCTTCCAATTCTTTCACTCTAAATATATTTTCTGTCTTTATATGACCTGCAATGGGTTGATAAGCTGTAGAAAATAAAAAACAAACAAATCAAATTCAAACATATGCATATTGTATAAGTGCAGTATGGTTTCACAGAATAAGTGCACCAGAAAAAGAATGTGCCAAATATGCATATTATTTTAGATGCATGTTAAATATTTCATACTTTAATAAAATACTGTCACCTGTGGTGAAAGTGATTTCATGGGGATTGTTTCTTTGGTACAAGATACAGCATAAATACTGTCAGAAAATTTCAAATGAATTTTACTTCTAAATTTTTAGTCATTACATTGTTGTTTATGGTTTGATACTTGTTCAACAAAATATACTATTTGTTTTTTCAAAGTATTTTAGCCTTCACTGACAATAATGTCTATAGAAAATAAGAGAGAGTATATAATTGAGCAACAGGAAAAACAGACTGACTATAGCTGAGATCATTAAAGATGGTAAACAATTTGGAATCAGTAGAATGTTTATCAAAAAGTATAGGGAAAAAATATCCATGGAAACTTTCCTTAAAGACTTCGACATAAGGTAAAGACTAAAGAGAACCATATTGAGTTTAGGACATCCAGAATGCCAAAACTCATTAAACAGGTATGTGAAAAAAATCAGGTGTAATCCAAGAAGATCAATGAAAGAATTGTCTAAGGAGGCAGGAACATTTGAGAGGACTATGCTGAGGCTATGATCTAGGGATGTTGTCCTATAAAATAACCAAGTGAAAGTTTCTTTTAACAGCCACAACGAAAAAGTGGCTTCAGTTTGCTGAAATGGATTTGTGATGGCACACTGCAAAACATAATCTTCACTGATGAGAAATTGTTCACTGTTGAGCAAACTTTTAATCATCAAAATGTTCTTTCAACAAGTTGTCAGTCACTTACTGCCATTTCAGAAAATACCTCAGGACCCAGAAAATAGCATCAGTTATGGTCTGGGCAGCTATCAATGATCTTGCCTATTGTTTGTGGGCAGTTCTTGAGAGTGAGGCCTGTTCTATTCCGTACCACGATATTGAAGCTTGATAGGCAAAATTGAAGGAAGTATGGGGAAAAAATATCCATGGAAATTGTGTGCTGCCATCAATGACTTGAAAGACTTCGACATTAGGTAAAGACTAAAGGGAACTATATTGAATGACATTTTCTAGTGTTATTTAGCAGATTAATATTTTGTGTTAAAATTATTTGCCAATATAAATTTTTCAGGAGTTTTGAGCTTTTTCCTTTCTAACAGTATTTATGCCGCACTTTGTATAAACTGAAGATACTTAAAGCTATTGCTGTACAAAAGAAACTAAAATATCTTTCACCACTGAAGACAGTATTTTAAATGTGTCTAAAATATTTGATACATCCTTTGGTACAGTCAAACTGTGTGAATCTGTTCGACATATGTCACCATGGACTAAATAAAGGGTTCAGTTTGAAATTCCAGCATATATCACCTGAAGAAGGTCACCAAATCGTCATGAATATGACAAAAAGATGAGGACAACAGTCCAAACAATGTAAATAGTATAAATATGATGTCATACATGTATATTTGAATATAAATCTTAGCCTTTTCTAAACGAAATGCCTGGGTGTAGCCAACAAAATCTTGTCTACCACATTGACAACAGCCAGTTCTTGATAATGACTGGGATGATTGAGAGTACTTGAATGTAAAATAAAACAAAAACATGAACTTTGGACAATTTATCCTTAATTTTGGTTTGGATCTACAACTATTTGAAAATTAGAAAAATACAATTAAAAAAATGTAAAAGTTGGCCATGTTATATACAGTTACATGCAAATACCTTTGGGGAAAGGTATAAATCCACCTCTTAAGGCTATGAATTAATTAATAAGATTTGTATCATTAAACCATTATTACCTCCAAAAATAAAATAAAATTGCATACAAAATATTTAGATTTTGGTATTAAATAATGCATAGAGGTTGGCATGCTGCTTAAAAACAATCAACCAAATCTCGCTCAGTTCAGAAAAAAAGTGAGTATGTTTATGTACCTTCCTTACATAGTGTTCTGAATAGAAGGCCACCTAGTAACCCCCCCCACACACACACAGCTAACTTTTTCTTTCTTTCTTCCTTTCTTTTTTTTTTTTTCAGTTCATTCAAATTATGAGGTTTATTTAGTGTGGATACAAATTTTCCATTGAGTTCAAGTCAAAGGATTGACTGAGCCACTTCAGTTGGTTGATTTTCTTGTTTTAAAATGAGTACTACCATGGAAAATGTGATGCCTAAGGTTTAACATTCATTTGTAAAAATGAAAAATCTTGAAGGTTTTATTTTTGTTTTAATTTCAAGTTAATAGATTAAATTTAACATTTCAAATAAACAAAATACTTTGCTGTATTTCAAAACAAATTTAAATTGTAGTATTTTTTTTTTTTTTTTTTTTTTTGCTAAAATTGCTGATTAGCGCCTTTTTTTAGTTATCTTTCATTGCAATCTAATTCTCTTCATTAAAAAATCTTCCAAAAATATATTTTTATGAAACTTTATTTGTGAAATATTAGCAGATGTAAAGTATAATTAATCTGATTTGAAACAAATGCATTTTTCTAATACAGTGGTATTCTCTGTAATCTAATATTGGATTTTAGATCCTTTCTGGCTGTAAATTTACTATAGTGATCGCTTTTATTTTCTGAGAATGTTGAGTATGGGAGTCTGTATCTACAAAATCAACATATATACATACAAAAAACATTCAAAATTTTTATAAAAATTTGACGTTTTGTATTAAGCTTTTTCATTTATGATTAGTAAATATAATTTTTACTTAATAATCATGTCATCTAAAAAGCTGAAATTAATACAGGATTTTAAAAGATTTAAAACTTAAATTATTCTAATTAAATTTAAAAAAAATAAAAACAATTGTAGTAAAAATTCATTATTAATCAAAAAAATTTTCTTATGTTAAGACAATACCCTTGGGAATGGTATGAATTCACCCCCCCCCACCCGCGCGCCTTATAAAAGCAATTACAAGCTTTTCTAATTAAATAATGTCATAGTTTTAGTGCATTTTTTTATTTTACAATTCAGAACATTTTCGGCAAATGGTATTTCTATTTGACAAAAACAAAATGATGATTTAATTTCTCCAAGGAGCACTAATACCTGGAAATTTGCTTTTTAAACCTCGCTCTGAGTATGTAATGATAATTTCTCAAAGGTATAAATGTACATGCT